ATGGACACAGAAAGAGACAACAATGAGAAAAGCCAGAAGTCAAGGATACCAGAAATCAGGGATGTCAAAACGAAGCCAAAGTCAAATACCAGAAAAAGCAATCAGGAACACACTCTCAGATAACCAGCTTGTGGAAACTAAAAAAGGGCACGGACAAAAAGGTAATTTGGGTTTAAATAACCTTCCTTAGGCTGTAACTGGCTGTTCCTGACCTCTGACCCCAAAACGTGCGTATGCGTCTATGACTTGACGTCGCACGCTGGCGCGATCTTTAATATGTGCGGAGGCAAGTCTCCTATTAAAACCGGAACCGCGGCTGCCAGCGTCTCTAGGAACGCTGTACTCACTGGGGACTTGGGTAGAAGGATGTCGGGCAGCAGTTTGCCGCAACCAAGGTAAGTATTTGATTTTTCTGTTGGTGTAGCCGCTATAGTTCCGTGTGGCTACGCCGACAGAATCGCGGGGAGCCGTGACAAGTAGCACCAGTTTTTCCGTTGTGTGCAAGCTAGATACTTGCTCCCATACAAGTGTTTACGTAACTCAAAAGAAAAGAAAGTAGGCAGGAGATTGGTTCTTCCAAATTAGACCTCATAGGAAGCAATCATAATTTGTAATTTCTTTAGGTGCTGTTTGAGGATGCAGAGGCCTGCACGTAAACGGTTGTCTCAACTTGGATCAAACATGATACCAGAGTTGTCAGATTATTACAGTAATATGCACTGACTTGGCAGCAGGGAATTGCTTTGGTAGTTCAGGCATTGGCCTGTGCTCCGATCTGACATCCTCCTTCATTGCTGTGCTCTAGCCACACAGACATGCTTTGGGATTTCTTCTCTAAACCCCAAGATGAGACATGCTTTGTAGTCCTTTCCTTTGAAGACAACCTCCAAGGTCAGTACAAAATCCATAAACAGCTTTGTGAGTTGATATCCTAAGTACAACAAGGTTAAGTTGAGCTCCTAAGAATGCTTTTTTTTTTTTTTAAAGCTCAATTGAAACAAATGGTACAGATAGACCTGCGCCAATAAAAATAATTTGGTGAATCCACTGACCTGACTGCATTCGGCAGATACCAGTTTGCCTTTTAAATTATATTATTTACTAAACTGGTCAAAACAGCAAAGCAAAGTCTGACACATTTTTCAAAGCTATATTTTGGCCTTACTTCTGTGATTCCCTTCTCAGTTTTCCACAATTTCTGGTTACGTGAATAAAACCTTTCAGAGTTCAATAAACACACCTCATTGTATAAACTAAAAACTCCTCTTGTAGGTGTTATACATTTTATCATCAATATAAACATTAACTATGTGCAAAGGCCTGGTGATACATGTAGTACATGTTGCAACAGAGTGCAAATTAATGTATTTTGCCCCGTAGCAGCATAATTATGTTTAATTTAACATAGTGTTATTGGAGGGATTCATAAGAGGCCCCTTTCTGCCAAGATTGGGTGTTCCCATGGTAGTCATTGTTTTAATAAACGATGGATTGATGGAAAGGGTGCAATATTATTCAGCCTATCAAGTTTGGCTTAGATCCCTCTTGTAGATTTATGGTTATTATTCAAGTGCCCTGGCATAAAAATTCTACTATCTCACATTCACATGTTATCAAAAAATTTGACTTTTATATACTGGAAGATTGTACAAATTCCAACAAACCCTTTTACATAACGTGCCAATAAAAAATAAGCCAAGTGTTGAGTCTGTAAACAACATTCTAACACATTAAAGGGAGGTTTACACGTGTGATTGAACTGGAGCAATACCTGGTTCCAGACAAATTGTGTCAATTTGCCATTTTATTAAGACAGTAATATTTGGAGCTTACATCTGTTGTTTACCTATTGAATGGCAAGTATTACAAAAGTTGGTTTGGGGAAGAAAAAAAAAACAAAACTGGAAATTTCAGAAAGTCTTCCAAATGATGTAGAAAGGGGAGGCCTTTCATGAAAATGGAGAAAAGCTGCTGGAGTTCCGTGCTGCCTAAGTCACGTGCTGGGATTGTAACAAGCCCCTGGCACAAAAGTGAAGATGTGTCAGTATGTGCAGCGTTTCAAGCTGAAACACTGCATGTACAAATTTCTACCACCCTGACCACTTCTACAAGCAGAAGTGGTTATGGTTACATAGTTACATAGCTGAAAAGAGACTTGCGTCCATCAAGTTCAGCCTTCCTCACATTTGTTTTTTGCTGTTGATCCAAAAGAAGGCAAAAAAAACAAAACAGTTTGAAGCACAATTGTGCAACAAGCTAGGAAAAAAATTCCTTCTTGACTCCAGAATGGCAGTCAGATTTATCCTTGGATCAAGCAGTTATTACCCTACATTGAAAGATTATATCCTTGAATATTCTGTTTTTGCAAGTATGCATCTAGTAGCTGTTTGAACATCTGTATGGACTCTGATAAAACCACTTCTTCAGGCAGAGAATTCCACATCCTTATTGTTCTTACAGTAAAAAACCTTTCCTTTGCCTTAGACGAACTGTAGGGTCCGGTTTGTGAATAGATTTCCACACAATGGTTTGTATTGGCCCCGAATACATTTGTATAATGTTAACATATTCCCTCTCAGGCAACGTTTTTCTAAACTAAATAGGTTTAAATTTGTTAACCTTCATAGCTGATATGTTCCATTCCTTATTAATTTTGTAGCCCGCCTCTGCACTTTTTCTAGTGCCATAATATCCTTCTTTAGAACATGTGCCCAAAATTGCACAGCATATTCAATATGTGGTCTTACCACTGATTTATAAAGAGGCAAAATGATATTCTCGTCCTGAGAATGAATGCCCCTTTTCATGCATTACAATACCTTACTGGCCTTGGCCACTGCTGATTGACATTGCACATTGTTGCATAGTTTGTTGTCTATAACAATTCCCAAGTCCTTTTCATGTGTTGTTATCCCTAATTCGCTTCCATTAGGGTATACGTTGCTTGTGTATTCTTTACGCCAAAGTGCATAACTTTGCATTTTTCAACATTAAATTTCATCTGCCATTTGAGTGCCCAGTCCCCCAGTCTATCTAAATCCCTCTGCAGCAAAGTAATATCTTACTCATGTATTTTTTTTTACAGAGTTTTGGGTCATCTGCAAACACTGAAACATGACTTTCAATGCGGTCTTCAAGATCATTTATAAACATGTTAAATAGAAAGGATCCCAGAACAGACCCCTGAGGGACACCACTTGCCACCTCTGTCCAGCTTGAAAATTTACCATTAATGACAACTCTTTGTACTCTGTTTTTAAGCCAATGTTCTACCCAAGAACAAGCATTTTCATCTAGACCGATTTCCTTGAGTTTGAACACTAATCTATTGTGTGAAACTGTATCAAATGCCTTGGCAAAATCCAAATAGATCACATCCACTGCAACACCCTGATCTATACTTCTACTTACTTCTTTGTAGAACGCAATCAAGTTAGTTTGACATGACCTGTGCTTCATAAAACCGTGCTGATTTTTGCTGATAACCATGTTCTTCTCAAGGAATTCTTGAATATTATCCCTTAATAACCTTTCAAATATTTTACCAGCCACAGAAGTTAAGCTCACAGGTCTATAATTTCCAGGCAAGGATTTTGAACCCTTTTTGAATATAGGAACCACATCTGCTTTCCTCCAATCCTCCGGAACACTTGCTGAAAGAAAAGAATCTTGAAAGATTAAAAACAGAGGTTCACTTATTTCTACACTTAGTTCCTTAAGTACTCGTGGATGGATACCGGCAGGCCCTGGAGCTTTGTTTATATTAACTTTCTTTAGTTGCTGCAGCACCTTGTCTTGAGTTAACCAATTACAATGATTCTGCAAGTTTGTAGTAGCATTCATGTGCACATCTATTGCCATTGGTTCTTCCTTAATATATATGGAGGAGAAATAGTTATTTAAAATTCCTGCCTTTTCCTGGTCTTCATTAACTAACACCCCCGTTTCAGTTTTTAGCGTACCTACACTTTCATTTTTGTTTTTTTTTAGAATTTATGTATTTAAAAAATGCTTTGGGGTTGGTTTTGCTCTCTTTAAGCTATAATTTTTTTCATTTTGAAGTTTAGCAAATATAATTGCCTTTTTGCACGCATTATTTGCTTCCTTAAATCTTTTATAAGACGCATCTGATTTGTCCACTTTAAATGCTTTAAATGCCCTTTTCTTATTTTTAATCTCTTGTTTTACTTCTCTACTAAGCCACATTGGTTTTAATTTGTTTCTTTTATATTTATTTCCCAATGGTACATACTGAGAAATGTACCTTTCTAATATTTGTTGGAAGATGATTCATTTATCCTCAGTGTTCTTTTCACTAAAGAGTTTATGCCAGTCACTATATTGTAAAGCTGCCCTTAACTTATTGAAATTGGCATTTTTAAAATTAAATGTTTTAGTATACCCCATGTGCTTTTGGTTTTTTGAGTTTATTTCAAAGGACACTATATTGTGATCACTATTTCCCAAGTGCTCACCTACTTGAATGTTGGTCAAAAGATCAACGTTGTTTGTTAAAACCAGGTCCAGACAAGCGTCCATTCTAGTTGGTGCTTGTACAAGTTGTGACATGAAGGTGTCATTTAACAAGTTTAAAAACCTAATTCCCTTTGCTGAGCTACTAGTCCCTCTGACCCAATTTATGTCCGGGTAATTAAAATCTCCAATAATTAAAGTGTTACCCAAATTTGCAGCTCAATTTGGTCAAACAGCTGTTGTTCCTCGTCAATATTAGGTGGTTTATAACATATCCCAACCAATAATTGATTTCCCTTCGTTTGCCCCAAGCAGATATCTACCCATAAAGCTTCCACATTTTCCTCCTCGCATTCCACTTGCTTAAGATTTGGCTGTAACTCATGGTTGACATACAAACATACCCCACCACCCTTCTTGTTTTTCCTATCCTTCCTAAATAACATGTACCCGTTTAAGTTAACTGTCCAGTCATGTGTCTCATCCCACCATGTTTCAGTTATGCCAATTATATCATATTGTTTAGTGGTTGGAGTAACCCTTTAATTTACCACAGATGTTAAATGCAATTATTTCACATGTAAGTGGTCAAAGCAGGCAGACAATTATATTACTTATTGAATGTTTTTTTTCTAACAAGCACCATAATTTATTGAAGAAACAATTCTATTGTCCTACCTTCATGAGCACATACACAAAAAGGGTTCTTACTTTTCTTTAGAAATAATTCTGTAAATTAAATACAGACATAGGACAATAGAGAAACCACACTGCTTACACATCTGAGGGACACTTATTTAAAAAAAAAAAAATAAATAGATTTATAAAATAGCTGTAATCTGTAAAATATAGAACCTACATGTTATAAATGTAGTCCCTAAGACCTCCAAAACTCGTTCTAGTGATTCAAAAGAAATTATAGGATACTATTTGCTTATATAACAATATTGCACTGCATCTATAAAGCAAGTGTTGGACACCTAACCATTGCGAAATTTGGCATCACCCCTTTTACTAACACCTACCTCTGGCATCCCTCATTCATGGGATATTTTCCTCCTGAAAATATGCCAAAGTGAAAGTATTGCTGTCAATGCCACAAGAATTAACAAAAGGTACTGAATCTGGTGTGTGTGTGTGTGTGTGTGTAAATATGTTCAAACACAGAAAATGTGCTGAAGATTTATTTTTGGCAATTGAGTAACAAACTTTGAATGCTGAAATAAAACATTTGTATGAACTACAAAGCAGAAGCATTATATGCGCTTATAGAAACCATATAATAATGCAACTTTAGTAATGTGTTTTCTGAATGATTTGCCAAACGGTCTAGCAGTACTTTGCAGGAAGCATATACATAAAATTATTGTGCAGACCAGGTTATGCTCGTACACAAGCTTCTTAATGCATTGTCATTAGCTAGCTAGAACTCTACGTCTTCCATGCAGTACACGGTAATTGGCAGGGCCACCAATAGCAAACTTGACATCCATTATGAGTTTAATTAGCAAACCTTTCTATCCAAAAGAAATAATGTCTGGTGTACGAAATACTGTTCAATACTTTAATTGTCATATGAAGTAGCAAATGCGGAACCAAGGTCCTGGTACTAAATGTGTGTTCACAGAGGACCAATTGTATCTCTAGGTTGTGAAACACAGGGACTGAGAGTTGTATCAAAAACAATCCTTCATTCAGCTAAGATAAAAACATCACTCAGATACTTGAAAATAATTGAGCAATTAAATTGGCCGTTGCCACGGAGAACCTTTGTCTCATCGGTCATTGTGAAAATGATGTTTTAATTACTCTAGCATTGAGAAGTTGGCTTTCAACGTCTGTTTAATAGTAATACGACATAACGAATCATCTCCTTTGTGCAATACTGAAAGGTTTCTTCACAGACTCAAGGATTTCTGCACAGTTTGTCGAGCAATCTTGTTAAACTGCTCACGATCATCTCTCCACATTTTTGAGGCATCCACGTTTGCGCCACTTTCATCATTCGGTTCTGAGGGCAAGACATTTTATGTTAATCTTCATATATCAATAATTTACACACATTTTGGGAGACTTTCTTTTTATGTTGAATGACTAACACAGGCCAAAACAATTCCTTATAAAATGTAATTCTGAACTTTGTAGCCATGTTTGGCAAATTAGCTCTCCTCAAACTAGATTTAAAACAAATGCTCTGCTGTAAAACTACTTAAAAATAATTGATTGCCAGATAACAGAAATGCAGTTTTTCAAAATACAATCAAACTTTTTATGGATTTCTTGGTACAGAGCCACTATTTAGAATGCAGGGGGGAGAAGTTCTACAGTACAGACTACGGACACTTTAATAATTTGGTTTAGCGGGGAATTACACAACCTTTTTTTACATAAACAAGAGCAAAAAAACAAAGAACAACTAAATTGAAAACAGATTGCCATCCTTTTTTGGTTTTATCAGAGTCCATACAGATGTTCAAACAGCTACTAGATGCATACTTGCAAAAACAGAATATTCAAGGATATAATCTTTCAATGTAGGGTAATAACTGCTTGATCCAAGGATAAATCTGACTGCTATTCTTGGGTCAAGAAGGAATTTTTTTCCTAGCTTGTTGCAAAATTGTGCTTCAAACTGGGTTTTTTGCCTTCTTTTGGATCAACAGCAAAAAACAAATGTGAGGAAGGCTGAACTTGATGGACGCAAGTCTCTTTTCAGCTATGTAACTATGTAACCATAACCATTTCTGCTTGTAGAAGTGGTCATGGTGGTAGAAATCTGTACATGCAGTGTTTCAGCTTGAAACGCTGCACATACTGACATCTACACTTTTGTGCCAGGGGCTTGTTACAATCCCAGCACATGTGACTTAGGCAGCACACAACTCCAGCAGCTTTTCTCAATTTTCATGAAAGGCCTCCCCTTTCTACATCATTTGGAAGACTTTCTGAAATTTCCAGTCATTTTTTTTTCCCCCAAAAACAACTTTTGGAGTTCTTGCCATTCAATAGGTAAACAACAGATGTAAGCTCCAAATATTACAAATGTGAGGAAGGCTGAACTTAATGGACGCAAGTCTCTTTTCAGATATGTAACTATGTAACTTTATCTACTTGTGCTGATTTTATTATATAGGAAAGAATTTTAGAAAATGAGATATTTGCGCACCTGCCAGCATGCTTACGACAGACAGTAGGATCTTTTCCACACTCTGCACAGGACTCCACCTCTCTGCACTGCTCTCATATCCCATTGGATCATCTCCTGGAGCATGAAGAATGGAGATGCAGACCCTTCCATCTGGATATACTTGCAAAAGATGTGAGAAAATCAATCATTTTGTACACAGGTTATCTTAGAGCAAGCATGTTAAACTCGCGGCCCGGCGAGCCGCAAGTACATGCTGGTATTATAGCAGAGTAGGCACCTGCTTTCCCCACATTGCAGGTGCCTACTCTGCTAACACTTACCCGGCCGGGAAGGAGAGCCAGCGAGGGAGCTCAGTGTTCCAGCTCATCACTGTTTCCTCGTGCGCACCGATTGAAGTGAAGCCGGGCGTCAGAATATGACGTTATATTCCGGCACCACTAAACTGCACAAGGGAGCAGTGAGGAGCAGGAAGGACCCCAGAGAAATGCCCCCCATCGGCTCCATAAGGTAAGGAGCAATAAGGAAATGTGTGTGTGTGTGTGTGTCAGTGAGTATGTGTGCGTGCTCTCTGTCAGTGAGTGCGCGCGTCTGTCAGTGAGTGCGCGCGTCTGTCAGTGAGTGCGCGCGTCTGTCAGTGAGTGCGCGCGTCTGTCAGTGAGTGCGCGCGTCTGTCAGTGAGTGCGCGCGTCTGTCAGTGAGTGCGCGTCTGTCAGTGAGTGCGCGTCTGTCAGTGAGTATGTGTGTGTGTGTCAGTGAGTGCGCTGTGTGTGTCTGTGTGTGTCTGTCAGTGAGTGCGCGTGTGTGTCTGTGTCTGTCAGTGAGTGCGCGTGTGTCTCTGTCAGTGAGTGCGCGTGTGTCTCTGTCAGTGAGTATGTGTGTGTGTCTCTCTGTCAGTGAGTATGTGTGTGTGTCTGTCAGTGAGTATGTGTGTGTGTCTGTGAGTGAGTATGTGTGTGTGTCTGTCAGTGAGTGCGCGTGTGTGTCTGTCAGTGAGTGCGCGTGTGTGTCTGTCAGTGAGTGCGCGTGTGTGTCTGTCAGTGAGTGCGCGTGTGTGTCTGCCAGTGAGTGCGCGTGTGTGTCTGTCAGTGAGTGCGCGTGTGTGTGTCAGTGAGTGCGCGTGTGTGTCTGTCAGTGAGTGCCCGTGTGTGTCTGTCAGTGAGTGCGCGTGTGTCTGTCAGTGAGTGTACGTGTCTGTCACTGAGTGTGCGTGGGACACATTAACTTAAACCTTGTCCAGTGCCACACTGAGTTTGACATGCTTGACTTAGAGCATACAAACATTCCAATTCAATCACTTTATATCAAAGTAAGAAATCAAGTTAGCAATATTCTACGAATATGCTTGTGTAGTTACTCGGCTATTCAATTGTTTTGATAGCCTTTCCATGAATATTGACAGTTACTGTGCTTAGGTTGTAGAACTAAATTGTAAGCAACACAAAAAAATAAAAATTCTAAAATTATTCAATGAAAATTCATGCACGGTGCTGACACTTTTCAAGGCATTTTAAAAACAAATTATTAAAGGAACACCACAGGGTCAGGAACACAAACCTTTATTTCTGATCCAACAGTGTTTAATACACCATCTAGCCACCCCCCCACCCTACATATAGTAAAATCTTACCTTTATTTCAGTCTGCTGGCTCTGCCTCCTTGACTGACATCGTCAGAAGTTATAATCTGAGCCAATCACAATGCTTTCACATAGGAAAGCATTAGATTGCCTGAGCATGTCAAGGAGGCAGATCAAAGGCAGAGCCAGCAAAAGCCAAACACAGCCCTGGTGAATCAACATCTCTTCATGGAGATGCATTGAATCAATGCATATCTATGAGGAAAGTTCAGTGTCTCCCTGCACAGGATGGAGACACTGAATGTCAGGAAGCAACAGAGGAGTGACCAGTGGAGGTATCCCTAGGCTGTAATGTAAACACTGTCTTTTCTCTAAAAAACAAAAAACAAAAAAAAAACCTGTGTTTACTGTAAAACACCTGAAGGGACAGATTATATTCACCAGAACAAATACAATAAGCTGTAGTTAATAGTGTCCCTTTAAAATAAAATAAACAAACTACACCTAATCCAAGAGCTCTCACAGCTTTCAAAGAGGTTGGTGACTATAGCATGCATTTCAGTTGACCGTTTTCTACTGAAATATGTACAGTCCCATTTAGAGTCAATCATAAAAATATAGACCCCATTTGGTTTCATTTATTAAAAAAGGTTTAATTAAAAAGGACACTCTGGAAACCAATACTACTTTAATGCATTTAATATGTTTAAAGGAACACGATAGTCACCTAAATTACTTTAGCTAAATAAAGCAGTTTTAGTGTATAGATCATTCCCCTGCAATTTCACTGCTCAATTCACTGTCATTTAGGAGTTAAATCACTTTGTTTCTGTTAAAGGACCACTCTAGGCACCCAGACCACTTCAGCTTAATGAAGTGGTCTGGGTGCCAGGTCCTTCTAGGCTTAACCCATTTTTTCATAATTATAGCAGTTTCAGAGAAACTGCTATAATTATGAATGGGTTAAGCCTTCCCCCTAATCCTCTAGTGGCTGTCTCATTGACAGCCACTAGAGGCGCTTGCGTGCTTCTCACTGTGATTTTCACAGTGAGAGCACGCGCGTCCATAGGAAAGCATTGTAAATGCTTTCCTAGACCGGCTGAATGCGCGCGCAGCTCTTGCCGCGCGTGCGCATTCAGCGGGGGGATCGGAGGCGGAGAGCTCTCCGCCCAGCGCTGGAAAAAGGTAAGTTTTTACCCCTTTCCCCCTTCCAGAGCCGGGCGGGAGGGGGTCCCTGAGGGTGGGGGCACCCTCAGGGCTCTATAGTGCCAGGAAAACGAGTATGTTTTCCTGGCACTATAGTGGTCCTTTAATGCAGCCCTAGCCACACCTCCCCTGGCTATGATTGACAGAGCCTGCATTAAAAAAAAAAACTGGGTTCACTTTCAAACAGATGTAATTTACCTTAAATAATTGTATCTCAATCTCTAAATTGAACTTTAATCACATACAGGAGGCTCTTGCAGGGTCTAGCAAGCTATTAACATAGCAGGGGATAAGAAAATCTTAATTAAACAAAACTTGCAATAAAGAGAGCCTACATAGGGCTCTCTTTTTACAGGAAGTGTTTATGGAAGGCTGTGCAAGTCACATGCAGGGAGGTGTGACTAGGGTTCATAAACAAAGGGATTTAACTCCTAAATGGCAGAGGATTGAGCAGTGAGGCTGCAGGGGCATGTTCTAAATACCAAAACTGCTTCATTAAGCTAAAGTTGTTCAAGTGACTATAGTGTCCCTTTAAGCCTCATTAATATGGTGTATTTTTTTGCATGCTCAAATCTTTATAGTTTTTGCATAAACTAAATACATGTTTTGCAGAATGCTGCACCTTAACCCCTTAAGGACACATGACATGTGTGACATGTTATGATTCCCTTTTATTCCAGAAGTTGGGTCCTTAAGGAGTTAAGCCTGCCTATATATAAATGTTGTTTTTTTTTTAAAGCATCTTATCCATTTATAGAACATTCAATGCGATTGGTTGAGATCATCAATTCTGATGAGGTCAGCTGAGGAGTCGGGTTGGTGCAAGTAAGGGGGCAAGGGATCTAGAGAGTGTTTAACACTATTGGGTCAGGAATACACATTTGTATTCCTGACCCTCTAGTGTTCCTTTAAATAATTGTAAAGTTTGTCCAGAAACATTAAAGTGGCGCTGTCATGCCGAACTTCCCTTTCTCCTATTGTTTCCTCTTCTCTTCCACTCTCAGAATCTGTTCTTTTCTTTATTACTAATCTTGTTTTCTTTAAAACAAAAGACAAGTAGGGACTACTTTGTCCTATGTATTTTTCCTGTGTCAAGGAGAATTCTCTGACACAGGAAATGGAGCAGACTTAAACTCCTCTTTTGGTCAAAGAAAGCCAAGCGCAGGAGAAATACGTAAGACAAAGTAGTCTCTACTTCGTCTAATGATTTAAAGAAAACAACATCAGAAATAAAGAAAAGAAGAACAGATTCTGAGAGAGAACGAGAAGAGGAAACAATAGGAGAAAGGTAAGTTCGACCTGACAGTGCTGCTTTAAATCATTCAAAAAGCTTATCCAAAAATATTAAAACAAGGCCCAAGTTAGTGTGATAAAGCCTGGTGTGCAAAACTGTGCTTTGTAAAATACTTACAAGAACAGAGAGACAGATGTCACTGTCACCACACTAGCATAAGGTCAATGAAAAATATTTAACAATTGGGGATGTGTGTGTGTGTGGGGGGGGGGAGGGGGGGGGAGTGGTAGAAGAAACCCAAAATGAAGTGAGCATACAGCACACTGGAAATAAAGGTTGCAATGCAAACGACAAAACAAATATATGTATATGTGCATACTTACTGTTTGGATGAAACATTTCACAAGTAAACCTCATTTTTGGAGGGCTAAGTGGATAATCCAAAGGGAAGCTAAGTATTGCTGGAAATACTCCACACTCAAAACATGTATCTTCAGGACCCCTACAGCCAAAAGTAAAGAAAAATTGTCATTATTAATGAAAATAAAATATTACATATAACCATCTCTTTGTGAATTATTATGTATTGCACTCATTCAATTAAACATGTGGTTGCATGTCCCCATTTATGAAAAAAGACCCTAACGCAATACATGTTTAATTTATCATAAAGATAAATAATTTGAAGAAAAGACAGAGTATATAGGGTGTTGGAATTACTCAACTCCCCAGACTCTGTAAAGGTTACAAGAGGTATAGGGGGTTTAACCCCAGCAAACTATAAAGAAAAAAAGAGAAAATGAACTGGAGGACCACCAGAATTTGGTATAAAGGTGGAAGACCTATTCATTCACAAATCTATACCTCTCAAAAATAAATGTACTATATACAAAGGGTTCTAAGACCTTTAATAGAAAAAGACATACATATTAAAATTATATATATAACTGGCTGTAAATATTGCCAGAGAAAGGTTCCCCTAAGGGGTGTTCAAGTAAGTGAAATGAGTATTCACAGATACTAACTTGAACGTATCCCCATTGTAGATTCTATAAGTTACCTGGCACGAGGAGCACTGTATGAGAAAAAAACAGAAAAAACAGATAATGTCTATACACAGTAGCCGTATCCAGGACTCAGTGTCAGAGCAGAAAGGGGGAGTAGAGGTAGGGTTTAAATAATGTATCCTGGTAGTGAGAGTGTCCCTGGATGTGGTGAGACAGCTGCAAGTACGGGTTAGATATGCTAACAACGGGCAGAGTGGGTAATATAAATGTTAAGCTAGCAACTAGAACATTTTTTAGTGGGAGGGCACCAGGTATCTGCTGCCACTATAAACACTACATCAGGCATCTTTTGTGAGTTTTTTTTTTTTTTTTTTTAAACAAATATCTCTTCATGCATACACTATGGTAGTTTTGTGCTTATTCTATTTATAGGAGTGCGAAAATGGAAAAAAAACATTAATCAGATCACACGTATTCTGAGCATTTTGAAGAAGATACGCAGTATCCGTAATTACATGTATTTATAAAGAGTGACATGTAGGCATACCGATCAGATCAAACATTTTTTTCCCATTTCTGTTTCCTTTCTGCAGCTGCACTTTAAAGATTGACGACATTCAAATATTAAGTATTTGTTAGATGTTCACCACCACATACAGCCTTATGAGACCAATAAAATGATGAAAAGAAGTTATAGCAGAAAACAAAATATTCTCAGGATGGAGTTTCTTCCAAATCTCACATTATTTGCTTATCTTTTTAAACAAAAAATAAGTAAAGGGAGATGAGACTTTATTATGAAACACCAGTATTAGATGATCTAACTCTTCTTCTAGGGAGAGCTGAACATCCTAGTGAGAAAAAAGGGCTCTAATCCCTGCAAGAGAAACAAGTAACTTGGAATTGTGTTGCAGAGCAAGAATTAAGCAAGTATAAACTTGCTGTACTCCACTGTTTTTACAATAAAGATGATTTTAATTCCCAGTGTCCTCCTAATGATCTCCAATATAAGCATTATGGAAGGAAAAAGGATTGGAAGCTGGATTAGTACACAATAGTAAATACAAACTGTAATGTAGCAAAAAAACACAAGGACTAAGCCATTATTAAGAATCCTCAAGAGCAAGTGTTACATGAAAACTTGATAGAAAGCAATTGTAGCTTCATTTAGTCACAAGACACACTGTTTAGAACACATACAAGGTTTACATATACCAGGGTGGCCAAGCTTCATGTCTGTAAGAGCTTCATGTTAAAATTAGAAACATTCAAGAGCCGCAATTAAATTTGTTGGAGTATTCAACAGAACCAAATATTGTCTCCTTCCAAATATTCTCCAATATGCCTCATTCCCTCCCCAGCCGGCCCTCCCTTTATCCCATGTGTCTTCTTTCCCCGCAGCCCCTCGATTCACATGTCTCATTTCCCCCCAGCCCCTCCATTCACATGCCTCTTTCAACCAGCGCCCACCCACCCTCCCCCCCCCCACCCGGCAGGTGGGGGCCCTAAGTTACAATGGAGGGGACGGGATCAATTTTGGTCTTTCAGCCTTTTAGTAGATAGCTCCCTAATACTGTGGGAATTAGGGAGCTATTTACTAGGATCAGAATTTCATTAATTCGAATGGAATTCTGATCCGAACAAAAAGTACCGAATTGCATCTTAACACGAGTGGACAAACTATACCCATTCTGTAGTTTCGGCAGCGAATGGCTGTTTGAACAGCGAATGAAGCAACACGAGAACACAAGAGGAGAGGTACGGCTTGTGGGAAAATTTATTTTACCACAGGAAATGGAGAGGTCTTAAGATCCTCCTTGGGTCAAAGCTGAAAAAGCGTAGAAAAAATACATAAGACAAAGTAGTTCCAACTTTGACTTGTGTTTGAATGAAAACTAAATCAGAAAGGAAGAAAAGAAGAACAGATCATGAGAGAGGAAGGCAAGTTCGTCATGACAGTGCCGCTTTAAGTAAGCATAAAAATTAAAAATCCTGGGAAATGATAGATCTCATGTATTTTCCATCTTCACTTTCACATGAGCACAGCTCTAAATTAGCATGTGAGTCAAAAACTGTACATCACCAGAAGTCCAGGTGTGTGTTTACGGTACATACTACAAGCAGCTTAGCAGAGCAGTCTGACATAATACAGAACCAAGGGAAGGGTTGGGAAACTCTTGCTAATAATGTAATTTACACTTTCGGTTATGAAACACTCGCTTCAAAGACTTTGTCTGCAATATTTACTCCTTTTCTCCCTGTTCAGGATTTATTGAGGAAAAAAAACAAAACAGAAAAAAAAACCAGTACAAAACAGTATAGAAAAAAAAATCAAAGCATGCTCTAATGGCAAGGTCACGGCGCTCCTCTTAATAGGAAGGGTGTGCAGGGCTATAATTGAACAATCTGCCTGCAAGGCATATCTTAAAGGCTGCACATCATAGAGGAGGCAGGCAGCTGTCTGACAGAGCTGGCACAGTCTTTTAAGAGGACAGAGCTTTCAGATCATAACCCATCATCAGAGATTAGCTTTTTCCACCACAATGTAGGGGCCAGTCTCTGCCGAGAGTAAGGTATATAATTATTATACTGATCACATAGCTAGAAGTAGTGTTACCATATTCACCATGTTTTCAGGGACACATATCACATATACGTATTGATGGGCAGGTCATGAAAAGGTTAGCCCTGTAGTATGTAGAATTCAGAAGGTGTATAAGATTCATTAATTAGGCAATGATCCTGCAGGGCAAGCCTTTTCATAAATATGATAAAAGTATATGTGTCCATGAAAACCTGGTAGATATGGTAACCCTAGCTATTAGGAATATAAGAAGATCTCAAACACACACACATATATATATATATATATATATATATATATATATATATACACACACACACACACACACACACACACACACACACACACACACACACACACACACACACACACACACACACTCAACAAGGAAGGCTGCTCTCCGGATTTAAAACAAAAAAGTTTATTCAAACATATTTAAAATCCACGACCAACGTTTCGGTCCCCGCTCGGGACCTTCCTCAGGGTCAAAAAACAGAACGACAGAACTGTTCTGTCGTTCTGTTTTTTGACCCTGAAGAAGGTCCCGAGCGGGGACCGAAACGTTGGTCGTGGATTTTAAATATGTTTGAATAAACTTTTTTGTTTTAAATCCGGAGAGCAGCCTTCCTTGTTGATTGTCTACCACATGTCTTGGAGCTCTGGTGGTGCGCCCGGTTTTGGACCTGATTGTAAGCGTGAGTGCAGGGGACATTTGGATTTTATATATATAAATAAAAATATAAATAAATAATAGTTTCTATTAAGGTACAAATGACACGTAATTATTTAAAAAACTAGAGGTACAGAAGAAGATCACTCTGTTCCAACTATCAATTAAAGGATCACTATAGTGTCATGGAAACAAATTGCCGTATTTTTCGCTCCATAAGACGCACTTTTTTCCCCCTCAAAAGTGAGGGGAAATGTCTGTGCGTCTTATGGAGCGAATGTGAAGCTTTACTTACCTGTCTTGTAGCGTGTGCCGGCAGCACAGTGCGCTCCGCGGTGCAGGAACTTCAATTTCAGGTTCCGATTTCCGGCGGGACTGAAAGGAAGTGCACACTCAGTGTGCACACTTCCTTTCAGTCCCGCCGGAAACCGGAACCTGAAATTGATGTTCCTGCACCGCGTGTGTGCACTTCCTTTCAGTCCCGCCGGAAACCAGAACCTGAAATTGAAGTTCCTGCACCGCGGAGCGCGCTGTGCTGCCGGCCCACGCTACAAGACAGGTAAGTAATTATGGGACAAGGAGAGGGGGGACACTATGGGACAAGGGGAGGGGACACACACTATGGAACAAGGGGAGGGGACACACACTATGGGACAAGGGGAGGGGGGACACTATGGGACAAGGGGAGGGGGGACACTATGGGACAAGGGGAGGGGGGACACTATGGGACAAGGGGAGGGGGGACACTATGCGATGAGAGCACTACAGGACAGGGGAGGAGGGGTTAATCACTATGGGACAGAGGAAAGGGGGGTTAAAGATAACTATGGGACAGGGGAGGGGGGGTTAAAGATCATTATTGGACAGGAGAGGGGAGTTTGGTGGTAAGGAACAAAAAATTCCTTTAAAAAAAAAATATTCTGAACAAACTGTCCCATAGTAAGAAACACTATGGAACAGTTTAGAATATTTTTCTTTCTGGGTTTCCTCCTCTAAAAACTAGGTGCGTCTTATGGTGAGGTGCGTCTTATGGAGCGAAAAATACGGTAGTTTTCCTGACACTATATAACCCTTAGGTCCCCCCCCACCCTCCCTCGGCGCCGAAGGGGTTAAAACCCCTTCAGTTACTCACCTTAATCCAGCACCGGGCTCCCTCGGCGCTGGTGACCTCTCCTCCCCCGCCGTCAACTACTGAGTGGAGCGGAATGTGCATGTGCGGCAAAAGCCGCGAGCGTAGTCAAACAGTCCATAGGAAAGCATTCCTCAATGTTTTCCTATGGATGTTCTGCACACAGGATGTGATTTTTGCATTCAGCGTTGCAAAAGTGCCTCTAGCGGCTGTCAGGAAGACAGCCACTAGAGGCTGGATTAACCCTGCAATGTAAACATAGCAGTTTCTCTGAAACTGCTATGTTTACATCTGAAGGGTTAAAGCCTGGGGGACCTGGCATCCAGACCACTTCATTGAGCTGAAGTGGTCTGGGTGACTATAGTGTCCCTTTAATAGCAAATTGGTTAATGGAAATAAGACAAAGTGGCTTTTCAACTGGGAATATATACTGCTCAAAAAAATAAAGGGAACAGAAAAATAACACATCCTAGATCTGAATTAATTAAATATTCTTCTGAAATACTTTGTTCTTTACATAGTTGAATGTGCTGACAACAAAATCACACAAAAATTTAAAAATTGAAATTTTCAACCCATGGAGGTGTGGATTTAGAGTCACACTCAAAATTAAAGTGGAAAAACACACTACAGGCTGATCCAACTTTGATGTAATGTCCTTAAAACAAGTCAAAATGAGGCTCAATAGTGTGAGTGGCCTCCATGTGCCTGTATGACCTCCCTACAATGCCTGTGCATGCTCCTGATGAGGTGGCGGATGGTCTCCTGAGGGATCTCCTCCCAGACCTGGACTAAAGCATCTGCCAACTCCTGGACAGTCTGTGGTGCAACGTGACATTGGTGGATGGAGCGAGACATGATGCCCCAGATGTGCTCAATTGGATTCAGGTCTGGGGAACGGGCGGGCCAGTCCATAGCATCAATGCCTTCATCTTGCAGGAACTGCTGACACACTCCAGCCACATGAGGTCTAGCATTGTCTTGCATTAGGAGGAACCCAGGGCCAACCGCACCAGAATATGGTCTCTCAAGGGGTCTGAGGATCTCATCTCGGTACCTAATGGCAGTCAGGCTACCTCTGGCGAGCACATGGAAGGCTGTGCGCCCCCCAAAGAAATGCCCCCCACACCATTACTGACCTACTCCCAAACCGGTCATGCTGGAGGATGTTGCAGGCAGCAGAACGTTCTCTACGCCGTCTCCAGAGTATGTCACGTCTGTCACATGTGCTCAGTGTGAACCTGTTTTCATCTGTGAAGAGCACAGGGCGCCAGTGGCGAATTTGCCAATCTTGGTGTTCTCTGGCAAATGCCAAACTTCCTGCACGGTGTTGGGCTGGAAGCACAACCCCCACCTGTGGACGTCGGGCCCTCATAGAGTCTGTTTCTGACTGTTTGAGCAGACACATGCACATTTGTGGCCTGCTGGAGGACATTTTGCAGGGCTCTGGCAGTGCTCCTCCTGTTCCTCCTTGCACAAAGGCGAAAGTAGCGGTCCTGCTGCTGGGTTGTTGCCCTCCTACGGCCTTCTCCACGTCTCCTAATGTACTGGCCTGTCTCCTGGTAGCGTCTCCATGCTATGGACACTACGCTGACAGACACAGCAAACCTTCTTGCCACAGCTCACATTGATGTGCCATCCTGGATGAGCTGCACTACCTGAGCCACTTGTGTGGGCTGTAGACTCCGTCTCATGCTACCACTAGAGTGAAAGCACCGCCAGCATTCAAAAGTGACCAAAACATCAGCCAGGAAGCATAGGAACTGAGAAGTGGTCTGTGGTCACCATCTGCAGAACCACTCCTTTATTGGGGGTGTCTTGCTAATTGCCTATAAGTTCCACCTATTGTCTATCCCATTTGAACAACAGCATGTGAAATTGATTGTCACTAAGTGGACAGTTTGATTGTTTGATTTCATAGAAGTGTGATTGACTTGGAGTTACATTGTGTTGTTTAAGTGTTCCCTTTATTTTTTTGAGATATATAATTTTTCTATTTTTTTTTTAGCTTGTGGGCTGGACCTGACTGAGCTGCAGCACTTCATTTGAGCCTTGTGTGTAACGCAACATTTTAATCTCACTTTGGACTGTCAGTGGCACTATAACAATTGGGGTCACTAGGTAATCTTGTTGATTTGAGGTGCAATCAGTCTGGAAGCACCCGTAAGCGAATTTGGTGGATTTACACGCATGGCATGTGTGTGGCCTACCGGGGGAAGCAAGTGCAGGACAGGCAGCTGATCTCCCCAGCCATACTAAGCTCTGCTTTTGAAGCATCTTAACAGACCCATGCACCCCCCTTGCCCCCACCAACCCACCCAGCTGGTGAGTTATCCGGGCACCCTCAATCTCAAACTGCAGTACTCAAGCTTGTGAGCGCCCTGGGATTTACTGTCCAAGCTGACAAAGCCTCCATAACGGCGACCGCATGCAGCCACACTGCAACTACGAGGCAGTGCACACCTCAGGAATCTGTGATGGGCTTCTTAGTGGCTTTTGTTTGAAAGTTTCTGGGCAAAGCTGGAGTTCAGACAGAGCTTTACATGCCCAAAGTCCTCAGCACATATTACAACTCAGCAACATATCCTAGAGCAACTGGTGGCAGCACCTGGGCCGGCATTGAAACCACTTGATCGGCTAAAGCCTCCGAGGTCTCTGACGCCCACCATTTCTGGGAGAGTATCTGGGGGTACCAACCCACTACACTACCTTTGACCTACGGAATCCTTCACCAGGAGAGAGTAGCCCAACAGGATTAGTGTAAATGCTCATCTAATTACCCAGTGGGCTTGGAGTCTTTGCGGCTACAGGACTTTTGGCCTACCTGTCAAGTAGCAAAGGCCTGCGACCCACACAGGCATTGGGCTAATCTGGATTGTGCACCGGACTGCACTGCTGCAAATTACTTACTGACCAAGTTAGATTTTAAGTTGCATTGTCTCAAACCTATGCGGTAGTTGCTGGCCCGTTGAAGGATGCTCCTAGCGCTTCCTGAGGGTTCCAAGCACTCCAGCCGACACCATAACCACCGTGGACTCCTTCAGAGAGCAGGACAGGAACAAGCTCTTACAAGAGTTTAGCAGTGAATATAGCAAGAGAGTATGCAGGGCATAGCAATCCCTTGTAGCAGATTCCCCCAATAAGAGACGGCACTCCAAATTGAGGGTGAAGTAGAACTGACTGTACTGGCACATCCAGCCTCTTTTATTCACATTCTACAAACATAGTACTGCCCACAGGGTTTTGAAGAACAACCAATCAACACATTACAACACAACACAGCTAACACTCCCATTCATTACATCAGAAATCCTCCCCTCTGCCTGTGATACAATTACTGAACACAATGATCTAATGTAATTATCACAGGCAGGAAAATACACAGTTTTACACAATATTCATAACTCTTAAAGTATACATCATATTCACATAAAAAAAACTTACATTTTCAGAATCAGCATACTCCAAATACAAACATACATCAAAATCATACAAATTGGTCCAGTGGGTCAAAAGTTAGTTGTGACCGTCTGCAAGCATGGCTTGGGTGTGGTAAGCCAATTACTTCCAGCATACAGAAAATAGCTCTATTCACAACAACAGTAAAAACACATAAAAATACATCATTCCTATTATACTTAACAGAACCCCCACATTAAACCTATCCCCAGATAGCTTGGATCTGAGCGCTCACTATATCCGAACAGCGCTCAGATGCCACAAACACAGTCAAATCGCCATGGGGTTAAACCATAGCAACTGCTGGAGAACAATAGACAGGAAACGGGGGAGGGGCACACCTTCTCATGTATTCAAAGGGGCAGAAAAAGTGTTTCAAAATCCAATAAGCCCAAATAATGTCTTTAAAGGGCAATACATCCCAGGGGCCATAGTCACATGGCAGGAGGCTGAGAATTAGTCTTCTCCAATGCCCAGTGACGAGGTTGGTTTCGCCACATTTCTCCCCTTTCCCAAAAAGACTAACAAGGTATCGGACCTCGTGTCGGTCAGTGCCTTGGTTAGTCCAGCAACCCACCCACAAAATATAATCAACAGAGTGGCCCACCCACAAGAATTGGTTACTGCACCTGGGGTAGTGGGTAGCTTGTCCATGTCCAGGGGCTCCACCATGGCTCTGGGGGGTACTAGCCTTCTGGATCGGTGGGTTGCTGAGTGGGCAGAGACCAGTGGTACTCTGCCCTGGTGCCAGCGCTACCACGGGAGTAGCCTGGTTGGAGCCCAGCTGAGGAGAAGGGTTAGTAGGCTCCTCCCTCTGGACCTGGTGTTGCTGCTGGAGGGGAAGACAGTCAGTCTCCCCTTTGCATAAACAGCCCTGCTGCAGGGGGACAGACCCGACCGTCATTACCCCCTGTGGTTTGGGCACAGAGACCACGGACCCATCTGCACCGGTGTGGGGCTTATCATCTCCCCTTGGTGGGCTAGGCTGCCGTTGGGGAGGGGGAACAAGGCTCTCCCCTCCCGGTAGAATACTCTGCCGCTGGGGAGCAGGACCGACTGTCCCTACTCCTACTTGGTTGCTGTGCTAAGCGGAACAGATGTTGGTAGCTCTGCTCCAGCTCCCACTCCATTGTAACCAGATGAATCAGGTCTGGCCTCAGGTCGTCCACTCGGGGAAGATCCAGCAGAGTTTCCCTGATGTCGTGGATGTCCCAGAGAAGACATTCTGCGGGGCATCCAAAGTCATTGCCCTCCTCAAAGGCCTCCCATAGTAAGCCTGGACTATTATAATCCTCTCAGATACCATTTGCAATAGTAGACAACCCAAGGTATTGCAAATGGGGTATGTCCAGTCTTTTTTAGTAGCCATTTGGTCACAAAACACTGGCCAAAGTTAGCGTTCGTATTTGTTTGTGTGTGAAAAATGCAAAAAACGCCAATTTTGGCCAGTGTTTGTGACTAAGTGGCTACTAAAAAAGACTGGACATACCCTGTTTGCAATAACTTGGGTTGTCTACTATTGCAAATGGTTTGCCATCATAGGGGTAATTTTCATTCTTGGGCTACCATAGGGTCTCAAAGGCAACGTAACCAATCTGGCAAATTTTAATGTGAAAAAAATGAAACGCAAGCCTTATATTTGACGCTGTAACTTTTGAAAACACCATAAAACCTGTACATGAGGGGTACTGTTGTACTCGGGAGACTTCGCTGAACACAAATATTTGTGTTTCAAAACAGTAAAAAGTATCACAACAATAATATTGTCCATATAATGCCGTTTGTGCGTGAAAAATTCAAAAAACGTCACTTTTACTGGCGATATCATCGTTGTAATACATTTTACTGTTTTGAAACACTAATATTTGTGTTCAGCGAAGTCTCCCGAGTAGAACAGTACCCCCCATGTACAGGTTTTATGGTGTCTCGGAAAGTTATAGGGTTAAATATAGTGCTAGCCAATTAAATTCCCTTTACTTTCGGCATGGGTTGTCAGGCAGGTCCTGCTAATTGTAATTAATTAAGATAACTAATTATGTAAAAATATTACATAAATATATATGTAGAATTAATATATGTATATATATATATATATATATATACATATATATATACACGTATGTGTATATATATGTATATATCTATATAATTTTTTAAAAATATTTTTATTTATATATAGGTATATATATAGTGATATATACGTATATATTTATGTATATAGATATATATATTATTTCGTTCTACGTGTATTTTGATATATATATTAATTTCACAATACAGTTAGAACGAAATAACACATCTATATATTTAATTATTTATTTTTAATTATTTTTTTAATTTTATTTAACGTATTTAAATTTTTATTTTTTTATATTATATATAAATATATATAACAATAATTATATATATATATTTAATCAATATCAGTCTACGTGTAATTTGATATTTATATATATATTAATAGTAAAATACACCTAGACGGTGTACGTGTGTATATATATATATATATATATATATATATATATATATATATATATATATATATATATATATATATATATATATATATATATATATATATGATCTAAGTATATATTATTTTTTTTTTACACTATTTATTTTATTCATTTTTATTTTCAGCCAGCAGGGGGACCACCTGTCATTACAGGCAGCCCCCTTGCTGGCAATGCTGCAGCCAGCTACCCCCGGCCATGTGATTGTGGGGTCCTCGCAAGGACCCCACTCTCACACGGCCGGGGGGCTTCGAGGAGGACGGACGTGCCGCGGGGGGCTCCCTGGGAGTCCCCCCCACCGCGATCGCCGGCGTGGGATCGCCGGCGACCGGGTAAGTACCGAAAGTACCCGGCGCGTTTAGAGCCGCTTAGAATAGGGCGTAATAGTACGCCCTCCGGTCTTAAGGGGTTAAACAAATACGCACATTTCTAAATTTAACCCCTTCAGGACCGGCCTGTTTTGGCCATGTTGTACGTTAATGACCAGGGCTCTTTTAACACTTTTGTGGTGTTTGTGTTTAGCTGCAATTTTCCTCTCTCTCTCTCTCATTTTCTGTTCCCATACAAGTTATATATTGTTTTTTTCAGGACAAAAAGGGCTTTCTTTACAAACCATTATTTGTATGATGTCATAATTTACTTAGAATAATAAAATATGGTGTAAAATTGAAGAAAAAAAAAAAATCTTTTGCATGAATAATCTTTTACTTACCTATGAAAGCTAATGAAAAAAAATTATATTCAAAATGTTGTCCTGAGTTTAAAAACACCCAGTGTTTACGTGCTTTTTTGCAAGTTATAGAGCTATAAGTGCAAATAGGAAATTGCCTTTTTAAAATATATATTTTTTAAATGTATCAATAGTGACATTGTAACACTATTATCTGTCATAAATCTCTGAATCCCACCCCACATGTATATATTTTGAAGTAGACAACCCAGGGTATTCAATATGGGGTATGTCCAGTCTTTTTTAGTAGCCAATTAGTCACAAACACTGGCCAAAGTTAGCGTTCATATTTGTTTGCGTGTGAAAAAAGTAGAAAACTAAATTCAACGCTAATTTTGGCCAGTGTTTGTGACTAAGTGGCAACTAAAAAAGACTGGACATACCCCATTTGCAATACCTTGGGTTGTTTTTTTGCAAATGGTATGCCATAATGGGGGTAATTCTCATTCCTGGGCTACCATACGCTCTCAAAGGCAACATAACCAACCTGGCAATTTTCAATGTAAAAATATTTGACCCTGTAACTTTCAAAAACGCTATAAAACCTGTACATGGGGGGTACTGTTATACTCGGGAGACTTTGCTGAACACAAATATTAGTGTTTCAAAACAGTAAAATGTATTACAACAATAACATCAGTGAAAGTGCCATTTGTGTGTGAAAAATGCAAAAAAAGTAACTTTCACTGACAATATCATTGCTGTGATATGTTTTACTGTTTTGAATCACTAATATTTGTGTTCAGCGAAGTGTGTCATAGAAAGTTACAGGGTTAAATACAGGTCTAGCAAATTAAATTATCTGGACTTTCGGCCTGGGTTGGCAGGTCCCTCAAATTGCAATCAATAAAATGACTTAATTATGTAAAAAGATTACATAAATATGCACATAGAATTTAACATATATGCATATATATATTTATATATTTGAAGTCTACGTGTATATTTATGAAATTATTTATGTAATTTTGTATGATATATATTTCGTATTATTTTGAATATATATATACACACATATATATATATATATATATATATATATATATATATATATTTATATTTATATTTTTTATTAACATTCTTATTTTTACAGCAGCAGGGAGACTGCCCGTCAACAGACAGGCCCCCTGCAGGCAGATATATGGACACCTATTGTGACCATGTGACCGCTCTGTTGAGCGATCAGGTGGCTGCGGGGTCCCGATTTGCCGCGGGGAGACTGCCTGGACTGTCAGGCAGTCTCTCCACACCGGGAGCAACGCCGATTGCCACCAGGGGAACGACACAACCAGGTGAGTAAAGATTTCCGTTAAGACAGCTCAGGACAGTCACCGGTCCTCAATGGGATTTTTCCGATGACTGTCCTGAACAGTCATCGGTCGCGAAGGGGTTCAATGATTATAGAAAAGAGGATTGCAGGTGGTTGGGGGAACAGAGTAATGCTGCATGAAATTCCAATTTAAACTGGGCACCATAACCACAACAGTTACTGTTGTGTTCATGACAGAAAAGAATGTGTGAGTGATTTGACAAAACCTGTGCAATTAAAGGAACACTATATTAAAGTATTAAAGGAACACTAGAGGGTCAGGAATACAAACTTGTATTCCTGACTCTATATAGTGTTAAAAACACTATTTAGCCCCCTGGTCTCCCCACTCCTTGCCCCAGGTAGTTTACTCACATTTATTCCAGCGCCACCTGGGTCCTCTGGTGCTTGCCCCGCCCTCGATCCACCTCCATAGCGGAGATCATCTGAATTGGCAATCTCAGCCAACTCAATGCTTTCCTATGGCACTGACTATACTCACCAGAACAACTACGTTAAGTTTTGTTTTTCAGGAGACTATAGAGATCCTTTAACTCATCTCACTTTGGAAAGCAATTATAAAGCTGTCCTGCGGGCAGGACAGCACATATACTTGCTAACAAACCATCTTTGTAAAAGCTTCCAGTTAGCAGAGGAACAGTACCGTATAATCCACTTGTCCTGCACCACCTTTAGCTTTCTGAGAAAACTGATATATTTTAGTTTTTAACATGAATTTAATAAGGGATTGTTTCCTAAAAAGACTGCACAGAGAAATTCAGTGTTTATGTGATTCTAGTGACACGTAAAAACAGACTAGCTCCATTTTTATCTTTACTTCCTTACAATGCTGCAGCTATTTTATTTATTTAGGTAATTTAGTTTTTGAACAGTGTAACATTTCTTTGCAGAAACATCATTATCCATTGGGGAGAAAAAAGAAAAACAAAACATTTTATTACTTTTGCAATTTATTTTATAGTATAACTACATTTATAACAGTCATATTTGAGCAATAACATCTTTGTTCCAAGTAACAGTAAAAATGCCATTCTGATCAACTCACATGATTAGGGCCTCCCATTCAAAAAAGTTCTCCTCATTAATGGGCCCTATAAAAGAACGCAGGGCATTTATTAGTGGGAAACTTTGTGAGACACAAAGGAACTCTGTACACATCTAAACAAAGCAGCATTTACAGCAATGCAGGATGTAACTGCCCAGAAGAACCACTGGAGCCAAAGTGTCTGCCCCCCTCCCAAAAAAACAAACAAAACAAAAAGCTTTATAATTTATGCAGTTGGCTGTATTGTAAAATGTCCATATTCTGTAGATTCACAAGACCTATTTCCTTCATGTTCAGGATAATCTACACAGTGATGACAAATCTTCACACTGTATATGTTTTGGAGACTAGATTCCCCATAATACTCAGCCTACATTATTACTAATATTGCCCATAAATGTGCACTGCCAATGTCAGCCATTAATGGCTTACCCATTCCCTGTTTATAAAGGGAACGGAAAATCTGTAAAGTAAAATGAAGCCAAGCTGTTGTGAGTTTTTGGAGCTGTTTTTATTCTTGAGGGCACTAATAATAGCCAACGAAATAAACAGATTCCAGTGGTTGGTGTAATTAGACCTCATTTAAGAAAATTTCCATATTTTAACCAAACTTGTTAACGAGATAGAATTAAAGTTTGTGGACGAGTTCTACACATTTTCACAACACCCTTTATAAACTTCTACTTCAAACCACTTTTATTATAGAGTATATTTAAAAAAAAAAAAAAATTTTAGATGGAAAAACATTGGAAACCTGTATAACCATGAAACAAATCAAACACGAACTAGCTTTATAATAATATTAAATATCCAACAGGTGAAGTCATTATAGAGATAAAAGGCAACATCTCTCAAAGGTAGGACGAGGGACTTACCTGCTACAATCCCCTCTGGCGGGTTCAGTGTCAGCTCTGAAATACAGACAAGAAAATAAATCAACTTTAGACAAAAACAAAGACAAAGACAAAAAACACAACTCTCATGGCAATATGATCATATTCGCTAGATTTCTTCAGATTTTTCCATTTATTTTTTGGATATTGTACAGTTATTTTAAAGACAAAATATAATATAGCCTTGCAGACTATTTTGGAACCGCTAAGTGTTTTGCAATACCAAAAAAAATAAATAAATAAATAAAATAATAATAATAATAATAATAATATAATAATCTGAGTACAAAACATCAAAACAAATCTTGAAAAAATGTTATGGACAGCATACTGTTATGGTAATTACAGAAAGCATATTGGAAAGAAGAATGAAACACATAAGTGGTTGCCAATATAAGAAACGCCATGAAAAGGAAACAAACAAACAAAAAAACTACTTGTTTTGGGGGGGGTGAGGGAGGGGGATGCACATCATCGCCCACTTCCAATATGAACTAAAAAAAATTAAATTACAGCTGTAAGTTTTCCCAAATGCTCTATTCAGTAAAGGAGTGTACGAGAAACATATATTCTCCTACAAATGTAACGTGTCTAGGTGAGCCCCATTCATCATTTTCTTTTTCAGAAATCTCCAGGTTTTTGAGATGCGTGCACTGCTTCCACTGGAATCACAGAGTTCGGTCACTTCCTGGTCTTTGAAGAAAGCAGGACATTTTGGGGAACTGGTTGAAAATGAGAGAGAAATGCATATATCTCTCTTCTTATAATATTCTGTTAAAGAGCATCACATATCTTACAACAAAGGTTTAACCTGGTGTTTGTCAGAACGTTAAATGTTTTTATTTTTAAAAATAAAAACATGAGCTCCAAAGTACATTGCAAATAGCTTGTTACAACCTCTTAATTTATCAAAAATTAAACCTGCAATCCAAACAGCAACTGTTCATTTCAGTTTAAAATCCAGGGTGAAGAGGCTCCAAATAAATTATTTCTGGCTTTAAAAACTGAGATCTATATATGCATTTCCTGGAGTTCCAGTTATGACAGACATAGTGTTTCAAAACATGGCTTTTATAACTAGGCTTAAAAATATAGAATGGCCAGAACCTTCATTAATGTTCTATACCCCAGTGCCCTCGGCCCATACACATACATGTAACTAGATTATTTTTATTTCTAAGTGCTTTGCAACATACATAAGGATTTGAACAGACTTCTTTTTATAGTTATTTTCACTAAATAAAAAGCTGGTACACAATATTGTGAGTTCAAAGACTAAAGCCTACTCCTTTTACCCACATCCCATTTATAATTACCATTTTTTGAAGTTGGACCTTGTTTACATCCATTAAGAGGAGTGGATGGGTTATGTGTTCTTGTGGTTTCTGGGCTTCAAACCTTTAATCTGGACCTTTGAAGTTTGAAGATGGCGTGACTTAATCGTCACAAGAATGGACGGCCAGATAAAAACACAGGACAAGCGGTACAGTCAATTGTTTGTCAACCAGCTTCAGGACATGAGTGTCAGACCTGTGAATCAGAGGGTACTGTAATACCTGGCTGGGTATTCAGAAAATTTCATTTTCTGTATTCCAGATGGGAATTCTTTAGATTTAAAGCAGCAGTCCGTGACAGCCAGTGAAAAGACGGCTGACACAAAATTAGCAACTGTCTGAGTCAACTTTAATTATATGGGTCTTTGTAAAACTCAATATTGCGCAAAAAAAAATAAAAATATCTAAACAGAGAGCTTAACCAATTCACTGCTAAAATATAAAGTAGTGTAAGCAATATATGCTACGTCCTTTACCGACAAGATTGAACAGCTAATGAAAATTCTCCCCACCTCTCTGTCTTAACCTCACCTAGTTCATGCCTTTCCTACACTTTGAACTTTCTCCCAGGCTACTGAAGAGGTGGCTGCTCTTCTTTTTTCCTCTCAACCCACCACTTTGCCTGCTTGATCCTGTCCCGTCTCACCTTATCAGATCTCTCTCCTCTTGTCTTTTGCCTTCCTTAACACACATCTTCAATTGCTCTCTCTTTTGCTGCCCTTAAACATGCTACTGTAGTACCCATCTTAAAAAAAAAAATTTAAAAAAATTCTTGACCGGTCCTCCCCTTCTAACGATCGTCCCATATCCCTGCTCCCTTTTTCCTCAAAGCTTCTGGAAAAACTTTCTTTACCCGTCTGACTTGCTTCCTCAATTCCAACTCTCTCCTTGACCCTCTTCAGTCTGGCTTCCGCCTACTCTACGGAGACTGCTCTTTTTAAAGTCACTAACGACCTAATTGCAGCTAAATCCAAAGGGCACTACTCGTATGCTAATTCTTCTGGACTTCTCTACTGCCTTTGACACTATTGACCATGTTCTCTTTCTCCAAACTCTTCAATCTCTCTGTGACACTGTCCTCTCTTGGTTTTCCTTCTACCTCTCCCAACATTAATTCATTGTCTCCTTTTCTAATGATACCTCCTCCCTTCGTCCTGTCTATGTTGGAGTCCCCCCAAACTTCTATACTTGCTACCCTTCTATTTTCTCTTTATACTGCTTCTCTTGGCAAACTTATTACCTAATTTGGATTCCAATACCATCTGTATGCTGATGGCACTCAAATATACCTCTTCTCCAACGGACCTCCCCCCTCTTGTCCTGCAACAAGTCACTGCTTGCTTTTCTTCCATCTCTGACTAGATGTCCTCCTGCTTTTTAAAACTCAATCTTTCTAAAACTGAGCTGCTTGTCTTTCCTCCCCCTAATACTGAACCGCCTCTTTCGCTCTCCCTTCAAGTGAATGGTACCCACATCAGTCCATCCTTGCGTTATACTTTATTCTGGCCTTGCATTTGAGCCTCACATCCAGCCTGTTACCAAATCCTGTAGATACCACCTTAAAAACATAGCTCGCATCCGCCCCTTTCTTACACAAGATGCTACTAAGGAGCTTGTCCATGCTGTAGTAATCTCTTGCATGGATTATTTTAACTTTCTCCTAATAGGTCTTCCCACAAGTCGTATTGCCCCACTACAGTCTGTAATGAATGCCAGACTGATTTTCCTCTCCTGTCGCTCCTCTCCCCTCTGTCAGTCCTTACATTGGCTCCTGTATCCTATGGGAGTCAATTCAAGGTACTAATCCACACCTATAAATCACTGACCAATTCTAACCCCTCCTATATTTCTTTACTGATCCGCAGGTATGCCCCTTCTCGGTCTCTCCACTCTGCCCATGACCTTCTCTTGTCCTGTAGAGCCAACTCATGCTTGCAGGACTTTTCGCGGGTGGCTCCTTTCCTTTGTAGAAGCCTGCCTACGACCATCAACCTCTCCCCTAGTTTTCAGTCATTTAAAAAGTGCCTCAAACCCCATCTCTTTAGGAAAGCTTATGGCCTCCCAGAGTAACCGCTTCATCACATACCTGTCCCTTGCTCTCTTCTAAATGGTAGCCCTCTATTCTCTCCTCCAGCTCTACTTCACTTCACCTTGTTTGATTGCTACCGCCTATCCTGTTGGGTTGTATGCCCCACCTCCTACAGACTGTAAGATCGTTTAAGCAGGGCCCTCTTCAACCTATTCTTGTTTTTGTAATTGTCTGATTTTCTTGTTAAATCTCCCCCTCTGATAATATTATAAAGCGCTATGGAATATGCTGGTGCTATATAAATACCAGTAATAATAATAATACGTGCTGCAATGCAGAAATTGAGGATTGTCCTTCACCATCTTTTCGTATTAGCAGATATCTGAAGTTTCACTGGGACTCCTGATAGGCCAGAGCCTGTTTGGCTCTAGCAGCCTTGAGTGCCATGCATGGCACACGTGCCATAGGTTGTCTACCCCGTGCTAATTTATGGTATATGTTAGTTTCAGCAATTTACGGCAGGTGTACAGATTCAAGAATCGCCATGCTATTCCCCACTGATCTGAACAGATTACCTACAATGGTGCTAATTTAGTTGTATATTGGAGTTTAAAGAGACACTATAGTAACCAAAATAACTTTAGCTTAATTAAGCAGTTTTACTGTATAGATCATGCTCTTATAGTCTTATTGCTCAATTCTCTGCCATTTACGAGTTAGATTACTTTATGTAGCCCTAGTCACATCACACCTCCTTACATGTGATTTACACAGCCACACTAAACACTTCCTGTAAAGAGTCATCTAATGTTTACACTTCCTTAATTTCAAATGTCTTCTCTCCTGCTCTGTTAATAGCTTGCTAGACCCTGCAGGAGCGTCCTCTACGTAATTAGAGTTCAAATAACAGAGTAGGAGATAAAAACTTTTAAAGTGAGTTACATCTGATTGAAAATTATGCCATTTTGTTTTTATGCAGACTGTGTCAATCAAAGCCAGGAAATATGTATCTAGCGCAGCATAAAGAGAAGATTTAATTCATAGAAGGCAGTGAATTGAGCAGTAAAAATTCAGAGGCATGATATACAACACAAAAACTGCTTCATTAAGCTAAAGTTGTTTTGGTGACTATAGTTTTCCTTTAAGAATAGTAAAGAATACTAAATTGGGAAGGTATGGAAAGCATTTTAGTTATAGGCCTGAACAGAAGGATAGATTGCACAAAAATTAATAACATTGTCTGCACATAAACACAAATTGACATGGACAGACTTTTCTTGAACAATATCTCGGTCCCTTGCACTACTAATAATCCTCATCATTTGTAATGAATTTGCAAATTGAAATCTCTTAACATTTGGGGCTCAAGCTTTTCGCCATGCTGTTCTATCTCTGATGAGCTTCAGTCAAAAAAGCCCTTACTGTAGAAATATTTAAAAAGACACTCAAGGGGGGCGGGCCCTGGCTGCCAAACGGAACTGTCGCATGCAGAGCGAGCTCTGACCAAGAATCTCTGAAATCACTCTAAAATCGACTATTAATAGCAAAAAACAGCAATCCATGAGCTGGAGACAGCCTACATTCAACTCTGCTTCAACCTGAGCGTTACTGACGCAAGACAAACAATCTGAGCCCGAGACGCTGTTGCGGCCTACCCGGGTGTGAGAGGCAGCCGTTCTACCTGCTTGAGCACCCACAGGAACAAGCTGACACAGTACGGGATCCCGTTCCTCCCCCTGCTGTTGGGGGTTATCCCAGCCCCATCAACATAGCACAAGCTCATGCAGCAGTACGATTCTCACCCACTCAAATCGACCCAAGATGGCAGATGCCAGGCCTCTCACCACGCCACGAGGCTTGACAGAGTCGACCTTCACAGAGCTGGACATAATCTAAGAATTCTGGCAAAAGCTCAATAAGAGGCACTGCGGCGCAAACTTGATGCAACACTCACCTCCTGCAGCTCAGCAGTCCGGCATGCAGCTCCCTCCAAAACAGAACGGAGTCGCACTCAGGCGCCGGAAGAGATGGCGATCTGGATGGACAGCCAAAGTAGCAAAGCCTACATGTGGAGCTCCCCCACAGAGGCTGCCAATAGAGCACGACCAGAGCACCACCAGGCCGCACGCGGCCCTAACTCTCATGATGATCAAGGCCTCCAGGAACATCCAGAAACTTACCCCTATGCTGCACAAAGAGCTGGTGGAAGTCAGAAAGGTCAGTGGCAGCGGGATGTGGAATCCACAGAGGACTATCTTCTATATCCCATATCTGGTCTGGAGAGAGACTGTTTGGAGTGGCCCATCAGCGGACTTGGCTGAACCTCAGACCTTTCCTAACTGTTGCCCCCAAGCCGATGCCAGAGTACATATACCTGTCGACCAATCTAACTACGCTTACCCGGATCAGTTACACAAACTGTGGTGCTGCTTGCCTACAATCCGCAGGTTACTTCTCGTCTATTCCCTTCTCCAAGAACGCTTATAAATCGCCCACCCTGCCATACCATCATGAGGATCAGCTAATTCCAGCCTCTGACTCACTGCCTATGTAGAGTTTATCTACAACAACAAAACCCATAGATCACACAGAACTCAGTATGCTAAAAAGCCAGGTCTACCAATGGTGGTTTCATCAGTGGGGAAATACTAAAGCATGTCATACCGTTATCTTAGTTATGTTTTGTTTTTTGTTTTTAAACAGCATATATCAATTATGTTCTGGTATAACAGCTATCATGGGACATGAGTCCCATTAATAAGCCATTACTTCCTGAATACTAGCCTATCTATAGGTCTCGAGATTCTCTCTATTGACAAGCTATACAGCCTAACGTTTAGACATGCATAATCAGCCTGAAAGTTACTAACCCCACACTTTTGCAACTGCATTACTAGTGTTACTTAAAGCTACTACTCCTTGTTTTTCCTTAACTAAACAGAAAATAGTGCAAAGTACCTCCATGTCATAACTATGTACTACTATGTATGATTATAGGTGTCTGTTGAGACACCACATACTTGCTTGTAACTACCTGCACCGCAAAAAAAAAAAATTTTTAAAAAAGACACTCAAGCTTTTGAAAACATACTAGCGAAGGCCTAACTTTTATAAAAACTTCTACTGTGAAATAAAACTGGAAAGTGCTTGGAGAAATGGTCAACACAAAAATGTTATATATTACAGTTACTCAACACTCGGTGCTGGTGCAATAAAAACATAGCCACTACAAACACCAACTCAATAAATCCATTCTCAATTATCAACTTATTTCTATCATAGTAAGTGGGGCATGAACAGAGTTTTAATAATTTGGGCAAGGTAGATAATATGTGTTTAATGAAGAACTGGTACAATCACTGCAAAATACATTTTATATGTTGTAAAAAAAGCTTCCTGGTCAAAAAGGTTAATGTGCAAAATGTATAAACCTCTATTTCTCTATCTGGATTCCTTTTTCACATAAGATTTTTATCAATCGAAGAGATGAATTTAGCACCTTAGGTAGGGAAGAGTGACAAGTCAAGGACAGAGGCCATGTCACTGCATGGTGTATTGCCTCCAAGTGTTTTCGGATATAGCAGTCTAATTAGAGAAATTCTACCTCTACTTGAAAGTAGCCTATTCATAAACTCAATGAATTCAAAATGTCTTGTTAAACCCTGTTAATCCACTGGCATGATGATTCTTTGTGATCTGAAAGCCTCAAATCCCCTCTTTTCTGATCTCATCCTCCTACAGTCAAGTTCTGAGTAAGACAGGACTAAGGGGAACGGTATGATGATGACAGGTTAAGTTTAAAGATGTGTCATTGTTCAACAACAACAAAAAAATATTAACATACCAAGGAATGGCTACAAAATAAGTCACTGGAGGCAAAACCTTTAAAAATAAGTCTCACAAATGTATCAGGTTTTTCACAGCGACAGAGCAAAAACCTGTTCTCGAAAACTTATAATCAAGTCACATACAGTCAGACTTCTATGGAGTATACTGTACCTTAATAGAGACAATGTGTGGCAAAATAAACTCCAAGCTATTATAACCACTGTAACATTTCTGCAGCTAGAGATTTGGGTTTGCATTCTTTATTAGTTGGAATCCGTTTTCTAGTTTCTATCAAACCTTCTGTCACATACTGCCACTAAGAAAAGGCAATAGGTTTACTCACAGTTAATAAATTAAAGCTTATACAGCTTAATGTAGTGGTATTGGTGTCTAAACTTTTGATGCAAGCTTTTCAATGTAAATGAGGCAGTGTTTACATTGGTGGTTAGTAACATCTCCAGTGGCAATCACTCAGACAGCCACTAGATGTGCTTTCTAGTCCGCGCTCAGTATCTCCACGCTCTGCATGGGGGTGGTGAACTTTTCCCATAGAGATACTGACTGACAATGCATGCACCAATAGCAGCAAAGAATACAAAACAGAAAGAAAAATAATACATACATAGTAACATAGACCACTCCCAGCCAAGTCCCAGTATAATAGCAAGCACCGCCCACAGATCTCCCTCTTTCTTTGCTGCTCCACAGTCAGATAAGTACCTAATTTTCTCTGTTCTATGGGATTGTCATTTATTGTGGTTTTTGTTTGCTATTTTGCTGTTATTATGCATGTATTTTCAGTTTGTGTGTACTGCAGTATTTTTGCTGGACTCCGGGTCCCAGACCAGTTAAACCTGCTCTGTCTGGGGTTCTCGGTTATATCCCTTTTTCCTATATTTTTCTGTTATACCCCTTTTTCCCCCATTGTCCCGGCTTTAAGCTTCTGATTCTGTTCCCCTCTGCCTGACCTTTATTCTTGCTGGACTGTTCTGTTTTTCTTCTATTTACCCTCCGGTGTTCCTGTTGTCTCCCCTTCTGTTTTGGGGCTCCTGGTGAACCCGGGCTGTTTGTGGCGCCATTTGGCACGCTATTTCGCGCCCATCCGACTTGCGTTCGTCAGTTTTTATTGTACCAACGCCAGGTGCTTTCGTTTAGTGACAGTGTTCGGTTTGCGAACGCTATTTCGCGTTCGCGGACTTTTACCCGAACGCTCGACTTTCTTTGCCCGTTCGCATATTTTGCCTTACTGGACACATCCTAACCGTCAACGCGTCTTGTTCGCGAGTCAAACACGCTTGTTCAGTAGTAATTTTTTGCCGTGTTCGTGTGGTTTGTTGCCTCCTGCGAGTCTTGCAAGCTGTGGGGACTGTGTGCTTCCGATCCTTCTCACCCCCTCTGTGTCTTTGCCTGCCCGGTGTAGTTACTGCTGGTCTGGGCCCTAGTGAGATCTTTCCCTTGTTACTTTTTCCTGGTTTTTATTAATCGTTTGGGTGATTAACCCTTGCTACTCTGGTGACTTTGCAGCTATTGGGTGCCAGTTTTACATCTATACATACATAGTGTTTTTTTTTTATTATTCCTAAACCTAGGGTGCCTGTCTGTTCACATATCCCTTGGGGGGGTGGATACCCCACTGGGTTTGGGGGAGGCCTGCTAACACGGACGCTCCGCTCCCATTGGTGGACCCGTCTGGCCACACCAAAGTAACTCAGGCTTCAGCGCTACAGTGCTCAGTGACGGATGCCATTATCTCCACGTCTTCAGACCTGTCTCCAGGTGGGGCGCCGAAGAGGGCTCTTCGCAAAGCTTAACATACCTCCCCCTCTGCCTCCAGAACACTTATGACTTGGGTACCTTAGATCGCCCCAGAGAAAATACCTAGAGAACTGGGTACGGCACCCACTCAGCAATGCGACCCAGAATAAGTTGAGGACAGTGCCCCAGGCCTTTAGTGCTTAACAGAGTGTGTGACACCCCAGAGGTAGACCCTAAGTTGACCCAGTTTTTGGCTAAGTTGGGTTGGAACCCACGCAAGAGCTAGACTCGGCACTTAGATCGTGCCAAGACAAACACCTCAGTGTATTTGGCCCCCTGGAGATTTTTTTTTGACTTAGTGGAAAACGCCAGAGCTAAGAACCGTATGGTGGACCCGGAGGACCTCAGTGATTGGGTCCAGAGAGCGATTTGCATTGCCAGGAGTGTTAATCCACTTTCTTCCCATCACAGGGACGGCCATAGAAGTCGAGCGGACTACCGCGAGCAGAACGCCCATACGGTGAGTTTACATACACTTCCGAGTTTCTTCTCCTGTTTGTGTAGGAGGCAGACTAATTTTTTCCTAGCTTGATCAGCAGTAACCTCGGACACATGGGTGCTAGTCATGGTGCAAGTTTTCATATGGACCTCGTGAGCACACCTTACGATATTCCACCTCCTCTACCGTTTCACTTCTCCCTCGGTGACCGCAAGTTGATCAACGAGGAATAGTCAGCCCTCTGCGACAAGAAGGCAATCAAACTGGCTGCCCTAGACCCTGCAGGGGTCATAAACACTATTCCTGGGGGAAAGGAAAGGCGGACAAATGCGCCCTGTCATCAACTTGCACCCGCTCAATGCTATGATACGCTACCGCCATTTCAAGATGGAGGGCATCCATCTTGTGAGGGACCTAGCCTTCCCAGGACACTGGTTGGCGAAACTAGATTTGAAGGATGCGTATCGGACGGTCCCGGTTGCTGTACCTTCTCGAGATCTACTTTGCACCCGACTGGGATTCATCGTCAACTGGGACAAGGCCTGCCTGACCCCATCCAGACGCATGGAAATCTGGATTTTCGTGTGGATTCGGAGGGAGAATCGTTGAGCCTGCCAACTGCCAAGATATGGACAATTCGCAAGGAATTGCACAGGGCGCTTCTCCGTCCACGGATCACCCTGTGTCATTTAGCACATCTCATCGGACTGCTAGCCTAGTCTATCTAGGTGGTGGTCATAGCTCCTCTCCACTACGGGGCTCTCCAGAGGTTAATATAGCTCATCTACAAGGGTTTCGAGAGGAACCAGGCACATGTGTGCATTGGTCTCTGCATGGACGACATCTTCCTGCAGGACTGGCGTGGAGATCTCCTGTATGCATTCCCCCGTTCTCCATGGTTCCACACAAGCTCATTCCAACGAGCTGAACTTGTGCTTGTGACTCCATTTTAAGGGATGCAATTGTGGTTCCCTCAACTTCTGGAGTTATCAGTAGACTGTCCCAGGCTGTTGCCATCGTTCCCAGGCCTGCTTCACGATCCGACAGGAGAATGTCACCCTCTACTGGTGGAGGGATCCCTCCTCATGGCATGGCGGATTTATGTGGAGGGAGTTTCGAAAACTGCTCAATGATTGTTGGCAGACACATGGGCTCCCGGAACTAGATGATCAAATGGGTCAGCTTGGCGAGCTTGGGCTGGCTGGCGCCTGGCTAGGGACGTGGATTCCGTTTCAGCCCCTGTGATAACTATTCTGGAATTCCTGACTTCTCTGTTTGAAACTGGCAGGGCCTACCTGACGATCTATACAGTTTGGCTATATCTTCGACCCACCAGGGGTTTCAAGGTTGTCCCGCCAACATCCTTTGGTGTGTCGCCTTCTCTGCGGTTCCCGTCTCTTTCATCCGCCTAGACCGCGTTTTTTTCATCCACATGGGATTTCTCTGTTCTGTCTTTTGTCAGTGCCTGGCCTTCTAACCAGGATCTCTCGTTACGTCAATTGTCGGCTAAATTGATTTGTCTCATCTCTTGCAAAGGGGTGTCGGATGTCATGCCAGATCATACACTCCGGAAGGTGAGACTTTCAATATTTCCAGACGTACTAAACCTTCTATTAAGTCAGTGTCGTGTCCAGCGTTTTCTTCGACACAGAATTTGTGTCTGATGGCGTGTTTACGTGAATATGAAGATCGTACCAGGCCACATCGTTCCGCTTCTACACCTCAACTTTTCTTGTCTTTTCGACCCTCTTTTTGCTCCAGTTGCGATTGCTACGTTGTCCCATTGGTTGAAATGGATTTCGGACCAGACTGGTATTGACATTTTTTTTTAGGCGTGCCTCTGCCTCATCGATTATGGCATCAGGCGCACGTTTGGAAGACCATTTCGTGAGTTTTATTTTCGGACTCTTACTCATGGGTTTTCTGCGGTGGTTGATCAGCTTTAAACTTGCAATATGAACCTCCATGTCTTGTAATAAAATTGCATAATTTTTCCTATTACTTGACATTAAGTCACGATTTTATTAAAGACACGGAGGCGAGTATTGTCCCACCCGTTGTGAAGCAATTTCTCAACTTTAGTTTTTTGTTGTTTTTTCCCCACCCATGTTCATTATAGGGGTCTAAACTCGCAGGTATGGTAAGTGGGGCATTGTATTTATGAGGCTTAGTTTTGATCGTGTCTGTTTAGAGTTTTGGGATGGGCTGTTCATTTTGGTATGTGGATTACCCTGCCTATAGTTATTCTGGCCTTGATGTTTGTATTTGGCAACGATTTAACCCTTGGGTTCCTGTTCTTTATGTTTTCACAGCATGATCTGGACCTGTTTGATGACTCATCTGCCTTGGAGGAGCATTATCTTGTTGCTGTTCCGGATTGGTTTCCTGTTGTTGATTAAGTGGTCCTGTGTTCTCGATTCTGGACTTCTACGTTTCATTTGCTGATGGTTTATGTCTGCTGATTTTTCTTGTTTGCTGACTTTCTGTTATGGTGTGTCGCATCTTCAAGAAAGAGGGAGATCTGAGTGTGGTGCCTGCTATTATACTGGGACTTGGCTGGGAGTGGCCTATGTTATTATGTATGCATTATTTTTCATTCTGTTTTGTATTCTTTGCTGCTATTGGTGGACAGTATAGTATGGGATATGCAATACTCGGCTCCGTGTCTTTAATAAAATAACTTTACGTCATGTAATAGGAAAATTATGTAATTATCCCACATGACAGGGAATGAATTCCTTGACTGCTTAATGGTAGATTTTTCTTTGATTCAGCAACGTGTCCACATACATAAAGTTATATATTTCAATGTTCTTTAAAATAAATAAAATAAAAATAAATAAATAAAAAAACACACAGGACTTTAAAAAATATCTTTAGAATCTGTTATGGCAATTTCTTTGTGTAGAGAATTCCACATCTTTATGGCTCTTACCGTAAAGAGCCCTTTTCCTCTGCTGCAAGCAAAAACACCTTTCTGCTGTTGGCATTGAAAACGGTTGACTAATTTGTAATCTATAACTGTTCCCAAGCCCTTTTAATTTAAAGGGACTCTCTGGGCAAGATAAGTTAATTGAAATTAAGTCGCAATTGTGTGAAGAGGTTCCTGTGCCTAAATATGTACTAGGACAATACAGCATTAGGACACGTTAGCATTACTGTACTTTTCAATCTTCTTTCCTCATCAAATACACTTACTCTTCTTATCAAAACACATTGTGCCTGTTGTCAAGCAGACAACAGGTCCTGTTACTTTCTGGTTTGTTTGGCACAGTGGAGCTAAACGCAAGAGGCTGCAATTGCTCAGAGCACGTGCACTGCAAAGACGTCTCATTAAGATGCATTTGGAAACCTGTGATTGGACAACCACAGAAAGTCTGGGTGAGTTTAGAAGGGGAGAGTTTGCAAAGGCAGCAGACAAGAGAACTGCAGTTTTTGCAATCTGTTTTTAGATATAACTCCAAAGAAAAATACATGCATGTTTTCATTGAGGGTATATCTACTAAAGGTTGTTTTTTATATTTAGATAGCGAAGTTTCCCTTTAAGATTAACAGTTTCTTGGATGAAAATGCTAGCACTTGATCTTTTCCTGCTTTAATCTTTAAAGCACATCATACAACTTGGACAGAAAAGAAAATAAATTATTTAGCAGGAGCTTCAAGCTAAAACCTACTATTAAACATAATTAGAAATGGCTTAAAACTGGAAACAAGTGGCTGACTGTTATTAAATGGTCACTCTAAATAGCATAATAATTTTGCAAAGTTGATGGTGTATAGGCACCTTGCAAACGCTCTTATAAGTGAGAGTGGCTTAGCTCTGCAGCAATTAATAAATCTAATTACATCTCTAAACAACACCTTTAAGGTGAGAATCAGGCAGTTGCAATGCTCAGTTCTGGATTCCCAATATCAATTTAGTCTGAGTTGTATACATGTGAGGCTGACCTTTTTCACACCAGGAGAGCCAAACCGCAGATCACTCTGTGCTAACGAGTTTGCATAACCTGAGTCACTATAATGTGCAGCAGCCTATATGTAAACCAATAGTAACAGTAGTATGGTCTGTGGAGCAGTTTCACCGAACTGCTCTTGGGATATAAACAACGTATCCAATAAACCAGTGCTGAACATGGCTTTAGGAGATAAAAATCAAACAGTCTAGACCAGTGACTTGGTTGTGAGTGTTTCTTCCTTGTCAGGGTTGGATTTGCATGCAGTTGCTGACAGAGCCAACTAAACACTGCTTCTGGAATGGCAGATAAATGTAAAAAAAAAAAACAAAAAAAAAAAAACATTTGCTTGCATGCCCCCGTAATGCTTTACAAAAGTGATAATTTTAGACTTATAATTTCTATTTAAAATGAATTGTATGAGTTGCGGTCAAACTAAAGCTGTGCAGGATCAAAGAAAGGAGATGCCTTTTTTTTTTTTTTTTTTTAAACAAAGTAAAAAGAGGCCCACGACTCTTTGGAATTGAATGCTTAAACATCACTATGTCAACACACAATTCACTTGTACAGCCAGAGGACACACTAAATAAAGCTTTGAAGAGAAAACATGCACAGTAGTGAGAAACAGGAAATAATTATAACTTGCAAATGCATATGTTGGAGATTGATTTTTTTTTTCCTAGAATTCATATCACAAGGGAATTAGATCTCAAGCCAGGATTAATAGTATGAGAAGCGAGGTAAAACTGAAATGTGTGTCTGGTAGTTCAGATTTGGCAAGAGATTAGTTTAGTTAATTTTCAGTGACTAGACAAGAAACAGGCTTCCCCATAAATAATGTGCAATGTCTCCATCTACTGACGCAATAAAGCACTGCACAATACAGTAAGATGACAGGGTATGTATTATCATAAGGGTTGAGAGTATGAAGAATATTCCATTTGTATTCTTAAGTTAAGACAGTGGGGGATTTTATAAAATTTCTGCAATTTCTAGCTTTGCATGGCATCTTATTCTTTTTTTTCTGGCTCTGTGGTCTACTCTGTAGTATGAGTAAATATGACTAAATGATTTTGGCAAATGTGAATAAAAATTTACAATTGCCCATTTCTATACAGGCAGTGTGAATATATGCACACATATTACCAGCAAAGGATGGATAAGAAACACAAAGCTGTCATGGGTTCTAAAAAAAATAATTTAAAAATCCTTCCTTGAATTCTCATGAATAATAAGATACATTTTCTATTTGGGTTCAGCAGCCCTACCAGTACATTGTTTTGAAGGTAATCATAAATAAATATAAATATATACAAACAATATAAAGAAACTATAATATTTGCAAGCAGCTATATATTGAAACATAACCCAGCTCCTTTCAAAATACATCACATTTGTTTTTCCTTTTTCAATCAAGCCTGTGGTTGTATGAACAGCATTTTTTTTCTCTCTGGTAGAAAGAAGCACCAGAATACTGGGGTAGGAACCAGAGAATAGTTGTACCAATAATACAAAATTACTTAGAAATGCATGACTAGGAGAAATATATTTAGGAATCATTACTCCCTGGTATCTGGTTAGAGATTACCTTATTTATGGCAACATGAACTTTACGGTTTTATTTTTGTTTTTTAGCACAAGCCAGCAACTTGTAATGTGCTGAATAATAGAACAAGTCAATAAAGCAAGCATTACACAAAATATAACCATATCATTCAGTATATAGATCCATGTATAGACGTTCTGGGGGCCATGCTCTTATGATTTGAATATCTAAAAGAAGGTGAGGGAATGATAAACACAGAAGGAGTGTTGACATGATATAAAAGTTAGACTAAACATCAGAGTAGAGTAACTTTTGGCAACATCTCAAGGCATAAGTTACAAAGCAAATGCAGGTACTTCAAATGTATGCATTGTAACTTCTTGTTTGGACATATTTAAATATATGTTAATTTAAATATTATTAAGGATACAATTTCAGATTAGTGAGGGCTCTAAGGATTTGTCAAAACTGAACTGAAAGTGCACAAGATTTGATATATATATAAACTGTATTTACTCAAATTTAATGCGCCCCTTTTATGGAAAATAAAAGTTGCCAAAATTTGAATGCGCATTAGATTCGGGGCAAAATTCTACATTTTCTGGCGAATTAAAAATGAATTTAAACAGGTGAATTCAATTCCAGCCAATTCACACAGGCAAATTTCATTCCTGAAACAGAGCTTAAAGGACCATTATAATGCCCTGAGAATGCCCCCACCCTCAGGGTCCAACTCCCGCCGGGCTCTAGAGGGAGGAAGGGGTTAAACTTACCTCTTTCTCCAGCGCCGGGCGGGGGACTCTCCTCCTCCTTGGCTGAATGCGCATCAGGAGCTGCGCGCGCATTCAGCCAGTCCATAAGAGAGCATTCACAATGCTTTCCTATGGACGCTGGCGTCTTCTCACTGTGAAAATCACAGTGAGAAGCCCGGAAGAGCCTCTAGCGGCTGTCAATGAGACAGCCACTAGAGGCTGGATTAACCCTATTATAAACATAGCAGTTTCTCTGAAACTGCTATGTTTATAGAAAAAAAAGGGTTAAACCTAGCTGGACCTGGCACCCAGACCACTTCATTAAGCTGAAGTGGTCTGGGTGCTTATAGTGGTCCCTTAAGAAAGAATAGACTTAACATGCCACACTAAAATTGAAATACCATCAATATTACTAAGGTAAGGTAAGTATATGGCAATAAACATTTTCATTGTAGCACAATGTTGTATAGTACCTATAAAACACAGAATAATCTTAGCCCCTCTTATATCTCTTCACAGATCCATAGGTATGTCCCTTCTCGATCTCTCCGCTCTGCCCGTGACCTTCTGTCCACTGCTCGCACCCATACGGTCAACTCAAGCTTGCAAGACTTCGAGGGTGGCTCCCTTCCTCTGGAATAGCCTGCCTACTGCCATCAGACTCTCCCCTAGTCTTCAATCGTTTAAGAAGTGCCTTAATACACGTGGCGAAACCGACCTCGCCACTGGGCATTGGAGAAGACTGATTGCCAGCCTCCTGCCATGTGACTATGGCCCGTGGGATGTATTGCCCTTTAAAGACATGATTTGGGCATAATGGATTTGTGTTGTGCTGCTGCTGGCCCTTTAAGAACCATCTGGGGACATACTATGGAGATACTGGGTGGCCACCATTTCATGTATCAGAGGCACATCGTGAGAACAATGGATGGCAGCCATTTTAACTCTCAGACACTGTTTGGACTTTTCTACACGGTGCCATCTCGCCGGTATTTGGTGCACAAAGACATCGTGCAATAGTTTTAAACTATACAACAGGGGACACATTATACAGTAATTATTTTTCATATAGCTTGTATATGTTCTGCAGAATCTGCATTAACCTGTATCTTCCAAACTACTGAACGGATCTGGGTGAATTTTGGATATGTGGTTCACCCAGATCCCCCGGTTCCGAGGATATACTTTATGGATTTATTGCATGTTTTGGGCTCCCTGTGATATGTTTTATAATACTGTATTTCTCTGCCTTTGATAATTATATCAACCATTGTGTTCAGTAATCATATCACAGGCAGAAGGGAGGATTTTGTGTGGGAGTGTCTGTGTGTATTGTATAGATTGATTGGTTGTATTTCAAAACCTTGTGGGCAGTACTATGTTTGTGGATTGTGAATAAGAGAGGCTGTACAGTCAGTTCTGCTTAACCTCAAAACGAAGTGCTGTCTCGTTATTGGGGGAATTGGATTGTATACTGATTGCCAGGAGTGTAAGCTGATTGTATGCTTTTCCTGTTCAGCTGCTTACAGCATTCATATGCTTGAGAGCATTCGTATGCTTCAGTGCTTGGAGTCCTCAGGAAGCGCTAGGAGCATCCTTCAACAGAGGTACCCAGTCGGGGTGCCAGGTGATCCGTTACATTAGTGGCAGCGGTGGGATGGCGTCCTAGTGCGAGGAGAAGCAGCTCGGAGACACTGGTAACGTTTGGAGTTACAAATTGAGGGCAACGCTAGTATCCGTACAGCGCCCCTGGCTACAGCAGGATGGAATCGGCTAGTTTTTGGACAGCCTTCCATGATGAGGAGGAGGAGGCGGCAGCGGACTACAGGGATGCAGACAGAAAGGAACTCTGGTATGATGCCCTGGAAGATGCCCAGTGGCGGCGAGGGGAGAGTCTCCCCAGTGATGAGCAGCGGCTACAGAAGCGTGTGGCGATGCGGATGTATCTATTGGGAGAGCAGCCCCTGGATGAGTGGGTGACAAGACTAGAGACCCTTGTATGGCGAGAGATCTGGCTAGACAACGCATACCAAGCCCTCTGGTGGCATACCACTCGACTTACCCTCTGGACGGCCGAGCACGACTTACCGGTGGGAGATGATTATGATGGCCCGGGTTTATTATGGGATGCCTTCGAGGACGACATTGATCTTGGCAGCACGGAGGGGGTCTAGGTTTTGGGACATCTACGACTACCGGATGGGCATGTATGTCTGGGCTGATGAACGCGAGGTGAGCAAAGACATGACCCACCTGGTAACAAGGGAGTGGGAGCTGGACTACCAACACCTGCTCAGCTTCGTGCAGCCCCAACCTACCCGACAAGCAGAATCAGTCCTCGTTGACTGGTCCTGGGATGACCTCCAAGATGGCAGGTAGAGATGGGACCGAGGTCTCTCTATCGGCCCTACAGGGATGCTGGGCAGCCAACCCAGATCTCCAGCGACAGTGTGAGTCCCAGGGAGCCGAAGGTGTCGCCCTTCCTCCCCAACGGCAGTGAGAGTTCCAGGGAGCCGAAGGTATCGTCCTTCCTCCCCAACGACAGTGAGAGTTCCAGGGAGCCAAAGGTGCCGTCCTTCCTCCCCAACGACAGTGAGAGTTCCAGGGAGCCAAAGGTGCCGCCCTTCCTCCCCAGCGGCAGTGGGAGTTCCAGGGAGCCGAAGGTGCCGCCCTTCCTCCCCAGCGGCAGTGGGAGTTCCAGGGAGCCGAAGGTGCCGCCCTTCCTCCCCAACGACAGTGAGAGTTCCAGGGAGCCAAAGGTGCCGTCCTTCCTCCCCAGCGGCAGTGTGAGTCCCAGGGAGCCAAAGGTGCCGTCCATCCTCCCCAGCGGCAGTGTGAGTCCCAGGGAGCCAAAGGTGCCGTCCTTCCTCCCCAGCGCAGTGTGAGTCCCAGGGAGCCAAAGGTGCCATCCTTCCTCCCCAGCAGCAGTGTGTGTCCTTAGTAGAGGAGACAGTTGATCCCTCTCCCCAGCGGCCAAGTGAGTTACAGGGAGCCGAAGGTGCCGTCCTTCCTCCTCAGCAGCAGTGTGAGTCCCAGGGAGCCGAAGGTGACATCCTTCCTCCCCAGCAGCAGTGTATCCGGCAGGGAGCAGAGACCATCAGTCTCGCTCCCCAGCAGCAGGACAATATATTGAAAGGGGAGACAGTCGGTCCCCCTCTCCACCAGCAGAGAGAGGAGCCTGTTACCCCCTCTCCCCAGCGGCTGAAAGTGTGTAAGGGAGAGGAGCTTGTTACCCCCTCTCCCCAGCGGCAGCGTAGCCCACCAAGGGGAGACACTAAGCCCCCACCAGAACAGATGGGCCCGTGGCCTCTGCGCCCAAGCTACAGGGAGTACGGACAGTCGGCCCTGCTCCCCAGCGGCAGAGTATTCTACCGGGAGGGGAGAATACTCTCGTTCCCCCTCCCCAGCGGCAGCCTAGCCCACCAAGACATCGTGCAGTAGTTCTAAACTATACAACAGGGGACACATTATACAGTAATTATTTTTCATATAGCTTGTATATGTTCTGCAGAATCTGCATTAAACTGTATCTTCCAAACTACTGAACGGATCTGGGTGAATTTTGGATATGTGGTTCACCCAGATCCCCTGGTTCCGAGGATATACTTTTTATGGGTTTATTGCATGTTTTGGGCTCCCTGTGATATGTTTTATAATATTGTATTTCTCTGCCTGTGATAATTATATTAACCATTGTGTTCAGTATTCATATCACAGGCAGAGGGGAGGATTTTGTGTGGGAGTGTCTGTGTGTATTGTACAGATTGATTGGTTGTATTTCAAAACCATGTGGGCAGTACAATGGATTGTGAATAAAAGAGGCTCTATGTGCCAGTACAGTCAGTTCTGCTTGACCTCAAAACGAAGTGTCGTCTCGTTATTGGGGGAATTGGATTGTATGCATTTCCTTTTCAGCTGTTTAAAAGCATTCATATGCTTGAGAGCATTCGTATGCTTCTCCGGTTCAGTGGTTGTGATGTCTGCTGTATATAATAAGTCATGTGTTGTTGTTCTTCTGAGGCTGTATTTATCTACTTTTAAGACGTGCTAAAGAACAGATCATTGTTGTGTCCTGATATGTAAAACCATATAATTGAAAGTGGGTGTAATTTATTTTTCATATGACTACATTATACACAAACACATCACATTAAGTGATTTTCTTTTGAAGTACAAAAGAATTCTCACCAGTAAGTCTGCAATGTTACCAAGTATAGATACAACCAAGGATACAGAAGATACAAGTGTAAATCTACAAAAACAAAATCCATATAATAGTGTAATATTGTATGGAAATATATAAGAATGCGCTATTGGGTTACACTCACAGGATGAAAGAATGTATCCTTAGGGTGACTCCCTTGATGGAGATGGGGGGCTAATCCAACAACTCCTTTCCAGCGTTAGCTCTGCAGCATGAAGGGCCAGACTCAGGGTTGAAGAGTAAGTATATTCTGCTTTATTTATAAAAAGTATTAAAAACAAACAAAATTTTAAATAAATTGGTGCTATACCAGGTCCTGCACGTTTCATCCAACAGGACTTCCTCAGGGACCATTAGATATTTTTAGCAGCCAAGTGAGATGCAATACAAAATCACAGTGTTAAAAAGCAGTAATCCCTCCCCACGGAGTCACTTTTTATATGCCCATATCTCTTCTTAGATGGGGAGGGATTATTACTGCTTTTTAACACTGATTTTGTATTGCATCTCACTTGGCTACTAAAAATATCTAATGATCCCGGGGATATCCCTGGAAGAAGCTGTCACCACTATCTATTGAGATAAGTGTTGTTTCACTACACTATTAACTCTAGGTGTGGGTGATATTTTCTCTGACACTTTATGGTGTACAAATACTACCAAGTATAAAGAATTAAGAGTTTGTGTCTGCAACAAAGTACACTACAATGATTTTGATAGCCTGCTATATTATGTTACTTCCACAATATCACTATACCAAAGCATTAGTGCAATGCAAGCAATATTTTATTTTACAAAATAAGCTGAAAAGCCATATCTATTGTATAGTTTAAAGGGCCACTATAGTGCCAGGAAAACATACTCGTTTTCCTGGCACCATAATGCCCTGAGGGTGCCCCCACCCTCAGGGTCCCCCTCCCTCCAGGCTGGATGGAGAGGAAGGGGTTAAACTTACCTCTCTTTCTCCAGCGCCCGGTGGGGAGCTCTCCACCTCTTCGGCTGAATGCGCATGTGCGGCAAGAGCCGCGCGCACATTCAGCCAGTCCATAGGAAAGCATTCTGAATGCTTTCCTATGGACGCAAGCATCTTCTCACTGTGAGAATCACAGTGAGAAGCGCGGAAGCCCTCTAGTGGCTGTCAATGAGACAGCCACTAGAGGCTGGATTAACCCATAGGTAAACATAGCAGTTTCTCTGAAACTGCTATGTTTACAGAAAAAAGGGTTAATCCTATCTGGACCTGGCACCCAGACCACTTCATTAAGCTGAAGTGGTCTGGGTGCTTATAGTGGTCCTTTAAATCTCAGTTTACTTGTTAAATTTACTAGAATACATTACAAGGGTTTTCTTATTTATTTTGTTCATAATTTTCCCAGTTTTAGAGTATACTGGTCTATAGATTTGGACTTTGACCCAAGGAACTAAAGGAATTGATTTTGTTAAGAGGCCCAGAATTCTCATAGCATTTCTATATAAGAAATCAGCCTGTAAATAGCCTTTATCTTTTCCACCCAAAATGTACCTAGAATCAATTTCAGAAATTTAAAAGGGACACTCTACTACCTGAACAAATTAAATAAAAATCAATGTTTAGTAGATATACCCCAAAAGAAAACTTGCATGCATTTAATTTTTTTTTTTTATATAAGGGTTATATATAAAAACAGTTTGCAAAAACTGCAGACCTTCTCCACAATGCCCTATATGGAATATTATACCTGATAGGCACCATCTCTCAACAGGGTTATAGCAACCCTTTAATATCCATTGTTGGAGTCATAACAGGTTGTTTCCAATTAATCAAAAGTGAATCTGGAGGAACTCCATTGTGATTATTAAAAGATTTTTAGCTGTGTTTCTCAGTCAGTTTATGACAGCCAATCATCATGAAATACTAGATTTAATACTACATTTTCTTAAAGCTGGTATCAGCACCACCATTATGTTTGTGGGAAAAAATAAATAAATATGGATACAGAAAGTCTAAAGGGAAGGGTGTGAACTTGGTCGTATTCCATCTAAAGTCCTGATGCAAGATGTAGAAATGTCACGCACTGTCACAATAAGAACATAAAGCAGAGCTTGACAAATTTGCTTGAAATCGAGGAGCCAGCTAAAAAAAAGTTAGGAGCCAGATTTTTCAACGTCAAAAATTCTTGAGGGACACTATAGTCACCAGAACCACTACAGCTTAATGTAGTTGTTCTGAAGTCTATATACTGTCCCTGCATGCTTTTCAATGTAAACACTGACTTCAAACTAAAGACAGGGTTTACATTGCGGTCTGGTAATACCTCTAGTGACAGTCACTCAGATGGCCTCTAGAAGTGCTTCCCGGGTCAGTGCTGCACAGTGTGCCACACCTACATTAACGCTCCTCATAGGGATGCATTGATTTAATGCATCTCTATGAGGAGAAGTTGATTGTGCAGCATGGCGTTATGTGGCCCATGAGCAATAGTCTCCCAATGTTTTTCCAATGGAGAAGCACTGGATTGCCTGAGATCATCAAGATGATCTCAGCCATGGCGTCACCAGCACGGCGTGGGGAAATGGGTGAGTATTGACACACACATACACTCACTGACAGAGACACTGATTTGATACACACACATCATTACTTATATTATTTTAAATCCATTCAGCTTTCCTACCTTTCGGAAAGCTGTACTGGATTAGCTTCCCTGGGGTCCAGCGGGTTTGCTTTCATCTCTCTACTCTGTTCCCTAGAGCGCTGTTTAGAGATAGGTAATTCCGGCTCCTGGCATCACTGGAGGGCACGCAACATAAGAGAGCAGGGAGATTACTGCTCCCTCACTGCCAAACTAAGTCAGCCACCTGCGGCCCACCTCCCTCCTTCAGCTCTCAATTAGCCAACCATCCGTTTGCCAGCCCACCACAGCCCTGCGTAAGCCGGCTGCCCCCTTCCAATCTCTGGCAGCTGGTCAACTCAGAGGCTAATCAGGCTCGAAAATCACAGCCTGGGATTTGTCAAGCCCTAGGCTGATATAAAGATAATCATATTTTCAAACTACAGACATAATGAATAAAATCGGGTGTAGCAAGATGAAATAGCATAGCTTTATTAATGGACAAAATCATGTCAATAATTTTATCTAACACTCCTAACAAAATAAATAACTGCTGTAATTACACGTCAATACATCAAACTTTCACATAAAAAAAAACGTGAGTTTCAAACGATAGAATAATAGGAATAGGGGTGAGTGCAAATGCCTACTAGTGATGTCCCGAACTGTTCGCCGAACGGTTCGCCACGGACTCATCATTGAGTAAACTTTGACCCTGTACCTCACAGTCAGCAGACACATTCCAGCCAATCAGCAGCAGACCCTCCCTGCCAGACAGCATCCATTGTGAAGCTGCATTCTTAGTGAGCTGTCCAGGAAGTGGGACAGTCTGCTGCTGATTGGCTGGAATGTGTCTGCTGACTGTGAGGTACAGGGTCAAAGTTTACTCAATGAAGAGTCCGTGGCGAACTGTTCGCCGAACAGTTCGGGACATCACTAATGCCTACACATTGTCAAGAGAGGGTGTATAGCTACCTTTAAGAAGACAAGCATATAAAGCCAACACATGATTTAAAGAGAAATACCTCACTCCCATGTCCTTTAAAGAGCCATATCCCTGAGACTAAACAAGTCATTATAGAAAAACAAAAATCTGTGAAGCTGTAAAGTAGCCAGGTGCTAGTCTTCTTCATACTAATCAAGGTAATTATCCCAAATATGAATAATTCACCATCACAATTATGCCACTTCTTGTACAGCTGAATCCTGAAAACATAGGAAAGCACGGATTAAGGAGATTCCCTGAAAGCAGTAAGTATTGTTGTTAGCATGTTAATCTCCCATGTTAAAATTAGTGCAGGACCCACCAATATTAGGTTACTGTGACATAGTGATGGGCTTAATACAATATGGCCATATTCATATTGCAATATGAATCTCCATATTTGTTTGCTAAGATAGGTGATTTTAAGTAGCCGTGTAAAATTTAAAACTATTTTGTGTGTGTGCTGTTCCCCAATCAACATTATTCCCCAAACAGGTTTAATACAATTTCCACTCCTTTAGATGAAAGATCATATGATCTAGAATTATAGACCAACATGAAGCATATGAATTTGAACCATAATGCTCAGCAAGTGTTCAAAACCAGCACATAAAATTGATGAAGCTCCTACTCACTAAACAAACATAACATACCAATGAGAGATGAATGCACTTTAACAAGTGGACAAAAAAAGTATTTTGTCTGAGGGGCAAGTGTACTAGCCCAATCTACTTGTCCAGAGAAAGAAAACAAAACACAAAAAGATGGTGTGTAAATTCAGGGGCCTATGTGAGGGAGGCTCAATGTGTCTAAATGCAGCTGTATATGTGTGGGTACGCATCTAGCGTGTGATGTAAGTGTATGCATGTGGTATGTGACTCACTGTCTGTGTGTGTTCTAGGCAAGCATACGGTTTGTATATGTCTGTCGCATATGTGTACATATGAAGTGTAGATAGTCCTTAGCGCATATATATATATATATATATATATTATTTTTATTTTTTTTCTTAACTAGTTGATTCTTTTGCTCGTGGTATGCTGTCAGGCATTATAAAATCCACATTCCTGAGTGCTGCTCAATGTATGAGAGAATACAGTCTTTTTGCAACGCTCAGATCAGTATACACAGAGAGTACAGCTTCCTCATGGGTGGATTAGATCTGTGTTGCAAACTGCCTGAAATCTGGGAATAGACTTTCTGATTATAAACCAATCTGAACTTACCTTCAGGGCTGTGGAGACAGAAGCAATGATTGCAAAAAAATGTATGGTGTATATGTCAACTCCACAAAATTGGAGGCGTCATATAGGATTAGGCCTATATTCACCGGATCAGTCAACCTCCAAAATAATGTAAAACTTTTGGGCCTAAACTAGGCAGCAAAAGTCAAACTGTCCCATTTCATATAAAATGTTTTACTTACTGTATCCTGTTATTTAATGGGGTATTTTATTATAGGATTAATAATATGCAATGTATTGTACATAAACAAAACAGTGTGTAGTTCACTTTTTTGCCAATAGATGGTGCATATGTGCAAGATGGTAGATATTTCTCCAGCCAGTCAGCTGTGTCTACATACAAATGAAATCAGATTGCAAGTGGTAAGGTCTTCTGCTATTTCTACCGAAGATTCTGTATAAACAGCAAATAATTGGCTCTTAAGCATACTCTATCAAGTGAAAAAAAATGTTAAACGTTTGTACTTATCCACTAAATTGAGATAGCTGTGGAATCTGTGTGAAAACATCTACTTGTCAAATGCATGTACACTATTTTTTTGAGGGGGGGGGTTGTTGTTGTTGGGGGGGGTTAACAGCAATAGTACATGCAAGTTGCCATATACAGCAATAAGATTTCTTGAAAGCAGAGACTTTGGTGCCTTGTCCTACCTGAAAAACACAGAGGGCTTGCATCCCTTGTTTACAACGATAGTGTCAGAAGCCCTACTTTATTTATTAATGTATAGCGCTGGGTTTATACAGTGAGACCAGCTGGTGCAGTGTGTCCATTCTAGTATTGTATAACATGGGAGCTGTGATAGCTATGCACAGTCAGGGCAGGCAGGGATGAGTCATTCCAGGTGACACACTCTCACACAGCCAGCGACACGTGACAGTGTATGTCTTATTCTTATCACTCTTATATTAATAATCGATTTCTCGGAAACTCACGTTTATATTCAGCCATGAGCCGCTTAAGCGCCGTTCCCGCCATCACCGGGAATAAGGTCGCTACTAACTTTTGTTTACGGAAATGCCAATATCGACTTCCGGACACGTCATCTTAGAGCGACAGCCGAGTGTGCGCTGTCCTATGGCGCTGTCTGGGCGGCACACTCCAAGTGCGCACGCGCGGACCGCCTGGGGCAGGCAGCTGCAAGGTTAGAATCTATCAGGTGACCGGGTTTAAAGGTCCTGGGATGTCACGTGGCACAGGGAGAGGCAACTGCTCTCTTTCGCTGTCACTCATATTCCTTGAGTGTCTCTCTCTCTCTCTCTCTTACCAGTTATTTCTCACACGCTCAGGAATATCCACTAAAGTTAGGAGAATTCAAGGCAAATTTAAATTTTAAGGCCAGAATAGCTGGATGAAAATTTATTTATTTATTTATTTATAAAATATTTTACCAGGAAAGATACATTGAGATTTCTCTCGTTTTCAAGTATGTCCTGGGTCCACAAATCATTGCATTGTTACATTAGGTACAACAAAATACAAAACAATATTAATACACAATATATACAAAATTTAACATAGAACAGGCAGGAAATATATAATCAACCATGACACGTGCATTCTGTTTTGAGGTATGTAGAGAGGGATCTCTTAAATGACTTTAGGCTTAGGGAAGATTTTAAATTGTGCGGGAGGTCGTTCCACAATTGCGGCGCTCTGTAGGAGAAGGAGGATCGGGCCGCTTTCTTTTTGTATTGAGGTAGACTAAGTAAAGTGCTTGTACTGGATCGGAGCTTATAGAAAGTGGGAACAGCTAAGGAAAGCATTTTGTTCAGGTAGGGTGGGAGTTTCCCAGAGAAGCTCTTAAAAACAAGGCTGGAAAGATGAAGGGTGCGTCTGGATTCCAGCGACAGCCAGTTTAGTTCCTTTAGCATGTCACAATGATGGGTCCTGTAATTACATTGTAGCACAAATCGGCAGAACGAGTTATACAATGTGTTGAGTTTATTAATGTGGGATTGCGATGCAGACGCATATACTACATCCCCATAATCAATGATTGGCATCAGCATTTGCTGTACAATCTTTTCCTTTACTGTAGGGCTTAGGCAGGCTTTGTTTCTGTACAGGGCACCTAATTTTGGATAAAGTTTAGATGCAAGCTTTTCTATGTGCAGGCCAAAAGATAAATTGGGGTCTAATATCATACCCAAGTATTTGAAAGAGTGGACTGCGGTCAGTGTGCCATTTGAATTTGTTTTGATGGATAGGTGGGGATTGTGTAATTTGTGCAATTTAGGTACTGTTCCAAAGATCATTGTGACAGTTTTGTCAGTGTTCAGGAAGAGTTTGTTTTTTGCGATCCACTTTTCTACCTCTGTAAACTGGTCTTGGAGCAAAGCCTCAAGTTGCGGTAGATTGGGTTTGCTCGCATAGATTACCGTGTCATCTGCGTACATGTGTACATTTGAGGATTGGCAGGCATAAGGCAGATCATTTATAAATAATGTAAATAGTAGGGGGCCGAGAATGGAACCCTGGGGAACACCACACGTGACCGGGAGAGGGAGCCAAATCACAGCCAATTAGATATTTTTTTCAGTTTGCATGTTTTGACCATAACCCCTTAAGAACCACGGACATATGAGGTACGACCGACCGACACAAAACGGTACTTAAGGACCGCGGACGTACCTCTTAAATTTGAGCCCTGGAAGTGATCGCGATACCCCCACACACACACTGCCGGGCAGTGATTGCTCCCCCTGGAGCGATAACTTCCGGGTTGCCGCATGTGGCGCCCGGCAGTATAGGCAAGAGCATTGGAAGCCTTCAGACAGTCTTCTGATCCTATGCCTGTACTGAGTGCCTCAAGAGGGTCGAGGCACTCGGTTAAATAAAAATTTTTAAAAATTAACCGCTACCCTCCCTCCCCATGTACTTACCGATCACCGCCATTCCCCCGCCGGCGATCGGTCCCCCCTCTGCAATTTAAGACCCCCAGGGGCCATGTGACCAGCCACAATAGGTGTCCACAGTGCTGCCAGCAAGGCACTGAAGTTTCCCCGAACATAGACAAACTCATCAGAGCAGCGAATCCCTTAACTGTACACATGTATCTCAAATGCTTTCATTGTAATATATTATACATATAAAGAAATAAAAGTGTGCGTATATTTTTATATATATATATATATATATATATATATATATATATATATATATACACACTTTTGTAGTCGGGGCAATCTAGCCATGATGAAAAAGGTAACATAATATATTATAATTAATAAACATATTCAAATTGACACCAGTCGGTTGTGGTGTGCCGGAACCGACAAAGCAGTAGGCTTGTAATAAAAGTGGGCAAAAAGAAAAGTACCATACAAAATTTATTCATATAACAAAACATTGTTTATTTGGACAAGTCACGAAAAGCTTGTCTTAACTCTTTAACTGGGTTTGGAATATAAAGAGTATGGGCCGAGGATTTCCAGCGTCCCATGGCCTTGATGATATGATATGGAATGTGGTTGGAGGAAACTGCAGATGCTGCACCTATACGTAAGGAGTGTCCTGAGAAAGGTTTGCATTTAGGCCGAGCCTAGTTAACAGTAAGCGAACTTAAAGCATGAATTTAGATGTTGTAAGTATGGAGCCGTGAAGTTCTAATAATGGTTGGTGTGGTTGTTTCAGGAAAGTGATGAAATATTTATTCAGGACTTTTACAGGACACCATTTGTTTTGAGTAGGGAACAGAGTAATTTTGACAGTATGTCTTGTAGGACTTGTTTTAGACTGATTTAAAGATAGAACATAATGATCTAAGGTTTCCTGGATACCAGTAGTTTCCAGGTAATCAGTGGCAGTTATATTTCTAGCGGTAAATTCATTGGGACGTAAGAACCCATAGAATGCTAGGCAAATGGCAGTTTTGATAACCATATTGGTCATGTGTTCAAAAGGAGCTGAATCTAATAAGTCTGATAGTGAATGAAAATGTCATTGTGGATGGGTAGCCTTTGAGATGGTACGTGTGTATTAATTTTTAAATTCCTTTCAGTAAGGTCTTTATCTGATATGATGAAAGGAATCCTGTATTGTTGGGGTGTCGTATAAGCATGTGGTTTTTGATGCCCGTAAGGTACCGTTTAATTGTGTTAAAAGATCATTTTAAGTTAAGGTGGCAAAAAGAAGTGAACCCCAAATAGATTCCTCAGCAAACATGTCAGGAACTCGAAACTCCGCTATAAACTTAGTGAAAATGTGAAAAACCTTATCGTATGATTTTCCTAGTGTTTACTGAAAGTGCAAGGTGAGAAACGTGACGTGCATGGTTTAACAAGACATTTAATCCATGAGCAGGTCTTGGAATGGCGGGGCAGGGGTGGCCAGTCTTGAAGCGGTGGCAGTGTCTGGAAAAAAAGCCTGAAAAATGAAACAGAGACAAATGGTCAGCTGAGATGTTTGTGAAACCTGGAACGTGTATACATGTGATAAAAATTGGCAAGTGGCTGCTACCCATGTCAGTTTCCTCAACTATCTCATGATGACCAAAGATGCAGATCGGTCTTTATTCACAATGTGACAAGTGGCTAAGTTATCTGAATAACATCTGACCGAGTGACCGGACCATTTTGGTCCCCAGGCAATGGCAGCTGCCACGATCGGATACAATTCAAATAAAGCTGACGTAGCGGAGAAGCTGGGCAGGGACTTACCGTCTGTAGGCCATGACCCCCAAAGCCATTGATCACCCCAGATGGCTGCAAAACCAGAGTTTGCCGCAGCATCTGTCCAAAGGGTGGGTGAAATGTCGGGGGGAGGGGGGGAAACATGGCTCGCCTATTCCAAGATGTGAGCAAAACCGAGGTTGCGTGATTGTCTAACGTGATACGTAATGTGTCTGTGGTGAATCGTGGGAACAAAGAGAGTAAACGGGAAATGAAGGATCTACCCTGCGGGATGATTCTTATGGCAAAATTGAGTGACCCCAGCAGTGAATGAAATTCCTTGCGGTTGCAAGAACACTGTTACAAGTAGAGTTCAATGCTTGATAGGGTGCGCTCAATCTTGTCCTGGGGAAGGCTAGCTTTCATGTGGACTGAGTCCAACTGGATCCCCAGAAAATTGCCTGATGGTATCAGGACCTAAGGTCTTGTGAGGGGAGACTGGATAGTCAGGGACTCAAAAGAGCCAACATGTGTGTAAGGCTTCTAGGGAGGAGTGCATTGTTTCAATTGTGAGGAAATCGTCCAGATAGTGAATAACGGATGGACATGTGCACACATTAAGCAATAACCAACACAAAGTTTCAGCAAACGTGTCAAAAGTTTGGGGGCTGCTCTTTTAGCCAAAAGTGAGTCGTGAGAAAATTAATAAAACCCTCGCCACTTAATGCCGTGCAGATGCCATAGTGAAAGGTGAATGGGAAGTAATTTCAAAGCATTTACAATGTCTGTTTAACTGAGCCATGCCACTGTACCAACTGCCAAAATGGCACAAATAGCATTGTCTATAGTGGCATATTGTAAGGAAAATTCTTCTGATGGAATGAGGGAATCAAGGCTGGGAATAGTGGAGGAGTGTGGTGCCGATACGTCAATGATAAGTCTGGGTTTTAGTGAAGTTTTCCCCGTGACCACCCCTATGGGGTTGGTTCTCCAAGATGTGAAAGGTTGGCCGACAAAAGGCCCCAACAAACCCTTGCTCTACTACAGATCTTATCAGTGTACACACTAACTCTGAGTCATTTAAAGTGGTTTGCAAATTGTTGCATTCTAGTGTATCGTTTGGCAAGTGTACTAAACCCGTGTGTAACCCCTCATACAGACTTTCAATGATAAATTTAACCAAATGCTGTGAGGGATGGTGTTGCAACAGTGCTGCCAATAATGTGATGTTGATGCCAGTGTGGTAAGGTTTAGGGAAAACTTTATTTAGGTAAATGGATTTTTCTTGAGCCCGGAAATAATGGGTACACACGTGTAATAATCCACAAGAACTAAAAACCACAAGAGCCCGCATTAAAATTATTGCAAATTTGTGATTTGCTGAAAAAGATGATGTCCCTACCCTGCTTATCCTTCAGGACTCTGGTAGGCCTAGCCGAGTTTGGGACAGAGTGACCCTGATCAATTTCTGCCGTATTAGTGCAGAAGTTATTACTATGTGCGGTAGATGCACATACTGTCCAAGCCGGGGGTCTGAGTCCTGCAAAGTGTCTACAGAATAGCTCAGTGTCCAGCTTACTCCAATGTATGCTGTAATTGAACTGAGTCAGAGCTGCAGCCACTTTTGCAGAGAAAGAACGGTGGTAATCATAAAAGACAGTACCACCGTATTTGTGCCCCAGATCCACCAGCTTGTGCATATACATGTCAAATTCCTCTCTCTTCTCAGGATACACCGAGCAATATACATCCTTATAAAACCCAAAACCCAATACAGATTTAGGAATAGATAGCTGTAATTCAACCTGGGGTCTCTTGCCCTTAGAACTACGGAAATGTCCCCATACGCAAATGTCCTGTTCTCAAGAACAATCTGGGAGGCAATGAGAAGTGAGACCAGATTAACGTCTTTGCCTTCCAAAATGTCCTTTTAAGATGAGCTGGGACCATGTGCGAGGGGTTGATACTCTCAGGCACTCTAATTGATGAGTATTACCGGGCATGACAGCCATTCCTGCATTTTTAGAAGTAACCGGGGAAGTGACTCCTTCTCAGGAATATCAGGAACTTAAGATATAACTGAAAATATAGATGCAACTTGATTACTATTCTGAGATAAAGTGGCCGGGTACTGGCAGGCTAGCTAGATGCCAAGCGAAGAAGAATTATGCTATTGAAACGTGACAGATGAGTCCCTACTAATTGCCAAGCGGTGTGAGAGGCGCTACCTATGCATTGGCCCGAGGGGAGATTGAGGCCACCGAAACGTTGTGGCGGGGTGTCGGCCTCTCGGTGATAACTAAAGCATAAGATAGAATGGGAGTGACATTGGAGGCCCTCTCTATGCAACCATGCGAGTCGGCTACCTATGATTTGGCCCGAGGGACGTAGACCTCTGAGTATGAGGATGGGTGTTAGCCTCGCGGGACCACTAGCTTATGGATTAAGACCAGAAACCTAGTTGGACAACCTAAATCTCAGAAAGCCAGTACCACTCTAAAATAGAAAAGGTATAGGGTTATGACATCGTACCTGATAAAGTTTGAGTCAGGCTCAACGAGAGGGTGGTAGTAGATGACGTGCTGCGACCTTTAGATAGTATGTGAATGAGTATTTGTGCATATAGATATATGTTAGTGGGCCAGATCATGGGCCCGAATTAAAATAAAGGAACCTACCAGATACTATTGGTTAGTTGTGAGAATATGACAGTGGCAGATGACGGGCTTTTGTGCTAGTAAAACAACCGTCTGTATGACCAGGGCACCTAAGGAAAGCGAAATGTCAGTTCCCACTAAATAGTTATAGTAGTAAAACATAACATAGTAATTTACCCACATTACTAACCTAATAAGGCAAATATTTTGACAAAGTTGTCACAAATCAAAGTGTTTGAAAATCATAAGCTTAATTCCCGTAATGAAACCTGGAGAAACAACATCATGACAAAAGTCAGCTATATATAGATATAGTAAACCAGTCTAAATTATATACTAAAAGCCACAACTCATAAGCACCTAATTGTAACTGTAATATACTTTATTACCAATAGGGGGCATCTGACTTAATAACCAGGCCAAGCAGTTGAATTCATGAACAGTCTCATAGCTATTAAATACTGCCGAATGGGGAGGAATCCCCTGCATAGAATAACAGTTTAAACCTAATCATTTGTATGTTTTGCAAACTTGAAACGAATTTGTATGGAAAATGACTTAATGAAACATACGAACGTACAGAGTAGAGAAACAAAACAAATGCGTTTGTGCGTTTAAAACACGAAACTAATATGTATATCAAGCTGTGTTTAAAATTAAGGAAAATTGTAATGAACGCGCCTACAAATAGACAAATGGCTATGCAAGTAAATAAACAGAGAATTTAACCGAACGCCCATTGTAAACGAAAGCCTTACCGTGAAAGCGTGTCACGTTTGCAACCGTTGCCTTACGGTAAGTATTTTGACTTCCGGTTTTAGAATCACTAACCGTGCTGAGACCGGGCTGCGAGGACGCCGGAAGGGGCCGTGGGTTAACGAATTGTTTGGAAAGCGCTCAGGTAAGCGTAGAACCGAAGCCAGGACCACAAGAGACAACAGGTAAGAGAAACAAGATGGCAGACTGAACCGGAAGTAATCCTCTGTGACTTGCCAGACCATCAATGGTAAGGAGGGAGAGGATTGGCAGCCCTTTTAAGGGAATTCAAGGCCTTCCCACAACTACAGGTCAAGGCCTTAACATATATATACATACACACATACATGCATATTATATACACACGTATTATATGTATATGTGTGTGTGTGTATATACATTTATAAATTATATATATATATATATTGTGACAGAGTCTATGGGAGGGTAATAGAAGGAAGGTATTTAGGACCCAGAATCCTCCATAGCCTGTACTCATTCACCTGCCCAATTAGCAACTGCTGAGGTTTTAATTAGCAGGTCTCAGAGCAGAAAGGAGGAGATACAATTTGACCTGCAGAGAGAGCAGGTCTGTGCAGAGCAGCACCAAACAAAGTGCTAAAGGTTGGTGAAACCAATGTTTATTTTGTTGATTTGTGTAGTTTATTACCCTGGTTTAGTAAGGGACATTACTTTATGTTTAGTTAGTGCTCGAAATTTGAGCTAGGATTTTGTTTGTAGACTTTCCTTTCTGTTTTGCTGCAGTTTTGAACAAACTGATTGCTGCATGGATTTTTGTGCACGATGTAAATAAACCACACCATTTTTGCATAAGAGACTTGTTCTATACCTGTTACCCTAGAGGATTGTGTTGCTTTGCCCATAAAGGTCACAAGATGGTGGAGAATGCGGGCATTTAAAGCACATTTATACGGCCTGTGGGTATAGAGGCCTAAGGTTCTGTGACTCTGCAACCTGAGACTGGTTGTTTGAAACAGAGGCCTGCAGGTGTGGTGTGTGGTATTTACCAGGTGGCTGTGGGAAAAAAAAAAAAGCAAGATGGAAGAGTTAGTAAAAGCCTTGGTACAGGCTACTACTACCCAGCAAGACACAAACCGTGTAACAGCAGCTCAGATCAGTAGTCTCATGGAGTCACAGCGACAGGCTGTTGCAGCCCAACAGGAGACAAACCGCTTATTGGCCACACAAATAGACTGCATAATGGAAACACAGCGGGAAGACAGAGTAAAACTAACAAGTGCTTTGCAACAAACCATACTGTCAAGTGTGACTACCCCTACTATGGATAGGGGGCGCCGGATTAGAGTTACTGACTTTTTACATAAAGTGAGTGAGGTTGATGACATGGAGGCTTACCTGACAACCTTTGAAAGGATTACTGCCTGAGAAGGATGGCCTCCAGGTCAGTGGGCAGGATTATTAGCCCCTTGCCTCAGTGGAGAATCCCAAAAAGCATATGATGATTTGCCTCTCAACCAAGCGCAAGACTATGACCGATTGAAAGCAGAAATACTAACACGACTTGGAGTTACGCCTGCAGTGCGAGCCCAAAGATATAATGCATGGGTTTATGATATTGCTATTTGGGATTGGCCACGTCCTGTGACAAAGAAACAAGTCAGGGCATTTCTAGGCTTAGTGGGCTACTACCGTAGATTCATACCTAACTTTGCTACGATCGCAAACCCGTTGACAGAGCTAACTAAGACAAAAGGCCCTGTTATGATATAGTGGACTCCCAAGGTAGAGAAGGCATTTAGTGCCCTGAAGGAGGTTTTGTGTGCTGACCCAATTTTGGTTGCCCCAGATTTTACAAAATAATTTTTTGTACAGACAGATGTGTCTGATGTGGGCCTAGGAGCGGTTCTTTCTCAAGTACACAGAGGAGAAGAACATCTCATTATGTACCTGAGCAAAAAGCTGAATCCCCATGAACAGAGATACTCAGTGGTTGAGAAAGAATGCTTGGCCATAAAATGGGCACTAGAAACACTTAAGTATTATCTATTGGGGAGAAGGTTCAAACTTGTCACAGATCATGCGCCCTTGACATGGATGAGGCAAAACAAGGAAACAAATGCCAGAGTAACTAGGTGGTTCCTTAGTCTTCAGCCATATAACTTCTGTATGGAGCATTGAGCTGGTAAAGACCAGATGGTTTATCCAGAGTCCATTGTTTGTGGTCAAAGGTCGCTACGACCGATGGGTCTAAGCTGGCTGGGAGGATATATGACAGAGTCTATGGGAGGGTAATAGAAGGAAGGTATTTAGGACCCAGAATCCTCCATAGCCTATACTCATTCACCTGCCCAATTAGCAACTGCTGAGGCTTTAATTATCAGGTCTCAGAGCAGAAAGGAGAGAGATACAGTCTGACCTGCAGAGAGCAGCTCTGTGCAGAGCAGCACCAGAAAAAATGCTTAAGGTTGGTGAAACCAATGTTTATTTTGTTGATTTGTTTAGATTATTACCCTGGTTTAGTAAGGGACATTACTTTATGTTTAGTAAGTGCTCGAATTTGAGCTAGGATTTTGTTTGTAGACTTTCCTTTCTGATTGCTGCATGGATTTTTGTGCACAATGTAAATAAACCACACCTCTTTTTGCATAAGAGACTGTTGTTCTGTACCTGTTACCCTAGAGGACTGTGTTGCTTTGCCCATGAAGGTCACAATATAAATACATACACACGTATTATACGTGTGTGTGTGCATATATATATATATATATATATGTGTGTGTGTGTATATATAAATACACACACACACACATTATATATATTTCTGGTCGGGGCAAAATTGCTGTGATGGTAAGATAACATATAATTCATAAACAATACACATTGGTAAATAACACCAGTCGGTTGTGGTGTGCCCGAACCGACAATGCAGTAGGCCTGTAATAAAAAGGGCCCACCTTAGAGGGTGATGTGAATAGAGGGAGTGGTGGGAGGGGTGACTCGCCAGACCAATGACGGTAAAGTGGCAGAGGATTGGCAGCCCTTTTAAAGGGGATCCAAGCCCCTCACACAACTACAGGCCCAGCCTTAAATTTGTGGCCAGGGCAATATTGCCGCGATGGTAGGATAACCTACAATTCATAAACAGTAAACATTGGTAAATAACACCAGTCAGTTATGGTGTGCTGGAACCGACAATGCAGTAGGCCTGTAATAAAGAGGGCCAAAAGAAGTGTACCATACAAAATTTTATTCATATTACAACATCAATTATTTGGACATATCACGAAAAGGTTGCCGTAAATCTTTAACTGAGTTTGGTATGTGTAGAGTATAAGCAGAAGATTTCCAGCAGAACTGCACAAGCCGGAGTCCTGAGACCTGCAAAATGCCTACAGAATAACTCAGTATCTAACTTACTCCAATTTATGCTGTAGTTAAACTGAGTCAGAGCTGCAGCCACTTTTACAGAAAAGGAACGATGGTAGTCATAAAAGGCTGTTCCACCGTATTTGTGCCCCAGATCCACCAGCATGTGCATGTAAACATCCAACTCTTCCCTTTTCTCAGGATACAAATACACAATACTATAAATCCGAAAACCCAACACAAATTCAGGTATAGAGAGTTTTTTGTTTAGCGTAGGATCTCTTGCCCTCAGCACCACTGAAATGTCCCCATATGCAAAGGTCCTGTTCTCAAGGACATTCTGGAAAGCAATGTGGAGCGAGACTAAGTTAACATCCTTGCCTTCCTGAATATCCTTTTTGAGATTAGCCAGACCATATGCGATGGGTTGATACTCTCAGGGACCTTTAATGTGGCAAGAGAGTTGACAGCTAATCCCGCCGAATTAGGAATAGCAGGCCCTGCAGGCACATTGGAAGAACAGACTGCTTCTAATTTCTCCAGTCTATCACTTATAGTTCCAATAGAAGACCTCAACAAGGTCATCATAGCATGAAGAGCCGGCATCAGAGTTGTCGGTGTTAGTATTGAGCAGTCTGAATAACTCAGCTTTCATGGCAGTAGCTGGGAAAGGAATACATCTTCTATAGAGCTCTGCTGTGAGACGTGTAATAGTCCATGATCTAAGCTAAGATGGACTAGTCATATCAGCTCTGTGGGTGTGGGTGCTAGGAAGGGACAGCTCTTCTGGTACTTCAGGAACTGGAGACATACTGAAAATATATACATACACTGTAATTACCATGAGTGAGACAATGTGGCCTGGTACTGGCTGGCTAGCTAGCTGCCAAGCGGCAAAAAAATTACACTACCACAAGGTGAAAGGTGAGTCCCTACTAGTTGCCTAGCGGCATGAACTTCTCTAACTATGCACTGGCCCAAGGGGAATTTGAGGCCACTGAACGGTGTGGCGGGGTGTTGGCCTCTCTGTGATAACTAAAGCATAAGATAGTATGGGAGTGACGTGAGGCCCTCTCTATGCGACCATGCGAGGCGAATAACTATGTTTTGGGCCGTTGGGCGTATACTCGCGGGGACCACTAGCCTATGGCTTAAGATCAGAAAACATAACCTATTTGGACACCTAAAATCCCTGATAGCCAGTACTATCTGCTAACAGGAGTAAGGCATAGGAGTTGTGAAAGTCGTACGTGAGATAGTTAGAATCAGAAATTATGATTCTTGCAGAATTAGGGAAAAGAGGGTAGCAGTAGATATGTGCTGCGACCTATATATAAGATGTAATAAGTATCTGAGCATATTGATATATATGTGAGTGGGCCAGATCGCAGGCCCGAGTAATAATAAAAGAACCTACCACAAGACCTAGATGCGAGGAGTGAAAATTGGCAGAAGCTGATATGAAATGGAAGAACCTGTATAAATGCTACAGTCTGGTCTGACCAAGGCACCTAAAGGAAGAGGTGTTAATGTAAAATCAGAAGGGATTATTTAAATAAGCCATTCTTCAACCAAATTACCAACCTAGAAAGGACTAGTTTGTCAAAGCAGGAACAATTTCTTTGACTAATCTTCCCAAAATGTACCTGTGGGAAGAACATCACAATCACATAAAATGTCAGCTCAATGGCAGGATGATATACTATAAATAACCAAGGTAAAATAGCAATAATCCTATACCAATATTTGTAGACCCGTAATATCATTTGTAACCAGTAGGGGGCACCATGAACACAAAGTGACAGGTATACATACTATTCGTCTTAATTCGTGTAAGAGAAGAATTAGTAACACCTGTCAATGGGGAATAATCGTTTGCATGTTTCACAACAAAATTACTGGAAAGGTTTGTATGAATCATGGTGAACGATTAGGCGTGCGAACATAATGAAAGGAGCTGAACAATGCTTGCGTTCGTGCGGTTTAAAGAACTCGAAACCTGTACCCATAGGAGTAAACTAATTGTACAAATATTGCCGAAACGCCTACAAACAATACGAATGAAATAAGAAAAAGGAAAAGACCCAAACCGCGATGACGCTGCACAAGTGCGACCGCGGCCTTAAGGTAAGAGTCTGAATTACAAAACAGAGGGAAGGTACTGTTGTAGAATTATTAGGCCTCTATAAGTCTGTAAGGCCCCTTTAAATCCTCTTGCTATACCTCTAAGAGGTCCCATAGTTTTACAAGAAAGCTTTGTCTATAGAACATAGAATTTGCATGTCAGCAAGAAATAGCTTTGATAAAATGTGTATTTACTAAAAGCCTTGAAACCTAACCTTGAGAAACTAACAGTGCCAGGCTACACTCTAAATGGATAGCTGCCAAAAGGCCCCTCCCGTCGAGTGAGCTCCTCATGTTAACAAAATGGCGCTAAAACCTGGAGGAGACAATCATGACGAGGATAGTGACCTAAGATGGTACACCCCGTAGGGAGGGCATTTTACTAACTACTTAGCACCTAAGCCAATTAACAATGTCTATTTGTCTATATCTTGATTTTCTTCAATGATGTAATAATGCCTTTAAAAGGGCCTGCGAGCCTGCTTTTTAATCAGAAGCCATTAAACTTCTCCGAAGTTCTTTCATTAACCTGAACTCTGTGTCTCAGTGTGAATTTACTTCTGCGTGCACGCAACTTTATTATCTTTAATTTGGACAGGAACAGATAGTCATTCAAACTAATTGGTTTGCAGTAAATCATCTACTACAGTTGGCGCCCAAAACGTGGGGCTCTGGGTTATGTCCTGCCTGGGCAGCTGTCCAAGAAGATGCTGGGGGGATGAATCCTGGGGGAAGGAAAAGAGCCTGATCACCTCTGAATACACGGTAGAGACTGCTGCAGCACCTAGCCGGTATGTTCCTGCCCCTGTGATTGACCTGTCCCAGTGTCTGTGACTGCTGCCGAGAGGACATCAAAGTCAGGTAATAACTTGCCCAGAGTCTTTGTATTGTTAATGATACTTAATTTACCTGCATGTTGACTATCTGTTGCCTGGGTGTGTTTGTATTGGTTTGTGTTTAACTTAGTACCCGGGGAGTGTGAGTGCCTGTTTACTCCTTTTAGGTACCACGTGGCTGTGGTAGTAAGGAAAAAGGGGGGTGGACCTGTGGAAGTTTTCCTGGGGGTCCTCTATTGCCTGTTTAACTCTTTTAGGAGCCACGTAGCTGTGGCTGTAAGGAAAAAGAGTAGGGGGAATCTGTGGAGGGTGGTGTAGACTCACTGCTTCCTGGGGGTTCCCCATAGTGTCGCTTTGACTGCTTAGCTAGCCTCATCGGACACTTCTTCTTGGTAAAATTCCAGCCTCGAGCGCTGAGGCAGGTAAGATTCCAATTCTTTAGGCTATACAGGATTCGGGTTGGAAGCTGTTGCTGTTTCCTGTGGCTGCTGGTAGTGAGACTTGCGGGTGGGTCCGCAACAGGGACACTACGAGGTTGAGGGAGGTGGCTTCGGCCGCACGAGTAAAGGCAAGGGATAAAACTGTTGAACTTGTTTGAACTGTGATGCATGCACTGTATTTTATTTGAAATGTTGTCTTAATTGTCTGTCACACAGATTCCTGTGCTTGATCTTATCTTACTCTCTGTGTTATTTACACTTTCCCCTCTTATTTCTCTTTGTTGAGAGAAGTGATTGGTCACACACTTCTCGCCACGCTCCAATTCCGCGGCTACCTCGGGTAGGCGGAATTAGTGACTAGTCTACGTTTTGGGAAGACGTACGTAGGAACCCACTCTTACGTAGCAGTCGAGCACTGTAGACCTTCTTTTCTCTCTTTCTCTATATCTGGGACGCCTTATATAGGGAGGATGGGACAGAAGTTAGATAAACCCAATAAGGGTTGGTTAGCATGTGATCTAGTGGAAGACAGAGAAGGAGAAGAGATGGTTAAGAAAGTGAGGAAGATTGCTAAAGTATGTGGAATTACCGTACCTCCGTGCGGCAGATTGCAGCCAGAGAGCTGGCGTAAGTTACTGACAGAGAAGAAAGGGAAGCTGTCGGACCACGATTTGGTTCGTACAGCAGAAGCCTGGTACCGAGTAGCAAGAGCTATTCAGCAAAAGGGATAGGTTGAGGAAGAAATTGATCACAAAGGTTTAAGATTGTTTGTGTATTATAATAATTGTGTTACTGGGAAGTCCTCCCAGCCAGCGCCCTATGATGGCGCCCAGGAGGTGACCACTCCCAACATCGCGTCAGCAATGACCGAAATGTAGCTGACCATGGTCCCCACCCCTGGTCCCCACCCTACCACCCCCTGTTTGCCCAGTCCTGAATGCTGATGGATCCCTATTCTCCCCCCCCCCATCAGTCCTACAGATCTCGTCACCCTCATCCTCTCTCTGCAGCTCCCTGCACCTCCAGTCCGTTTCTCCCGTCAAAGATTTCTGGTTTCCAAACGTATAAGTCTCTGTCCTTCTGTCTTGTTACTTTCCAGCACTCACATGGTTAATCTTCATGCCTGCAGCTTCTCTCCCTTTTTGCACTGTCTCACTTTCTCCCCCCCCTCCTCCCCGCTTGCCTACATTTCTGCATTTCGGAGCTACTGATAAGAGTTAGAGACGGGATTTTTGCTGGAAAATATTTTAATTCAAAGGTTATGGTGTTATAATTGTGTAATAATATTATTATTGTTGCCGTTTGCATGGCGCCGGCAGATTCCACGGTTCTATCTATCTATATATATATATATATATATATATGTTTTGTGATAAGGCAGTGAAGATTGTGGGGGGGCTCGCTCACAAGAATGCATTCCACCTTTCTGAGTATTCTCTCCAAGACAGGGAGTCAGGGATGTAGCTCAGTGTTGATTTACGGACGTTAGGTAAGTGAATCTGATACAAGAATAGAGGAATATTTGGACGTGTTAAGTGTAAAGGCAAGCGTGATTTGTTGCACAACTATGCAATGTGGATAGAGGGAATATGCGAAGTTGTTAAGCTAGTATGTGAAGAGGAAAATGATTAATGGTTGGAGGATGATAAGGGAAATTGGTTGAATTCCGTGAGTTTATCTTGCATCATTTTAAAGAACATGTTTCTAGAGACAGCTGTATGGGCTGTTAAATGCATAATGTTTTCAACTGTCTTATTTAACCTTTCAGGTTTATTTATAGTTTAGTATTTAAATCTCGGAACTGACTTATTTTATTAGTTATAATATAGTGTATTGTTGAAAGTGCGTCAGCCACCACCCTAAAGATGGCGCCTAGTACAGAAGGAGGTTGACCCTGCCAGTCCCGTGACCTATCTACAGTCACGGTTGCTTCTAAAGTGACGTCACTTCCGCCCTTACCATGCCCACACCTCCTGTCTTCCTTTCCCACACCTATCATGGACGTCACCTCACTTCCTCCCTTGCTGTCATTTCCTTCCCCGCCCCTGTCATGGCTGCCTCCATCATGAGGCCTACCCCTATCATGCTCGTCCTATTTAGAGACATGTTGTTTTCCTTACACTCTACATATTATGAACAGAAACATTATAATTACTAAAACAATCATGCCATTTGTTTCCCTGTATCAGAAATGTGTCCGTGATAAAAAAAAACAAAACAAAAAGGTTGCTAAAATGTAATTTGCAAATGTGGTGTGACCTACAAATGAGATCTGTTGGACACGAATATAAGAGCATAACAGCTGATTATCCAGATTAATCTTGCAACAAGGGAAATAGCCAAATAATGCAAGTTATTTTAAACATTGTATCTTTGCTTAATCGAATCTTGCTAGTTACAGATCGTATGTTTACAGTAACATCCTTTACGTTAAATGATGGTTTAGCATTAGAAGGGTTTGTGACATGTTTTATTAACCCAGCCACTACTGGTTATTCATTTTAGTTACAGGGTGGTATAATTGTTATGGTCTAACTAATATAAATGATAGTACCGCAATAGTTAATGTTTTACCCAAAGACATATAGGAACTTTACTTCACTTACTATTAACCATTATTTATAATGATAGAACCCACTGATGCTTAATGCCCCTGCCATGTCAGTGTCTACAGGGAACAAGGGGGGCCACTAGCCACTGTAACTTTACCTATTGAAGGTCACCCTACTACTTTCCTGGTTGACACAGGTGCAGCCCGCAGTGTTCTTAGAGAACAAGACCTGCCTGACTCATCGTTCCTGTCTGATACCGATGTCTCTTGTGTTGGTGCTGATGTCCTATCCCGCCTCCAAGCATCCATCACCCTCACTGCAGACGGCCAGGTTCAATTAAATACACCTTTGTCACGAAAAGACACTACAGTTCTTTGTTCCCTTCCCATTTTACTTGGAGATGACATCCCCACGACAGGAAAATGTTCTCTGGACCTCCTTTGTTATCTTGCAGATCAGGGGTGTAAGGCATCTCTTGTCAAACTTCAATTTTGCCAGGCCACAGTAATCTTTCTAGGCCATTGCCTGTCCCATGGCACCAGACACCTCACCCGTGATCGTGTCGGAGTGGTTCTGGCCATTCCGCCTCCAAAAACTCCTAAATCCCTCCACGCCTTTCTAGGCCTCATTTCCTATTGCTGAGCATGGATCCCAGAAGCCTCACTCCTTATGCAACCTCTCTATGATGCTCTCAAGTCAGACCCATTTTGCTTGTCCACAGAAGCCCTTGACAACTTCTGTACTCTTAAACGTGCTATTGCTTCTGCTCCTGCTCTTGGCCTACCAGACTATACCAAACCCTTCAAATTGTTTGTTTCTGAAAGACAAGGCCATGCAACAGGAGTACTCACTCAGGCCCATGGTCCTGGAGGCCGCTGCACCCAAAGAGCTCATTGAAAGAACTGGAGATCTTGTCCTTGGCCACCCCCTGGTTGTCTTGGCCCCTCATGACATTTCTGCCATAGTCAACCAGGTCCAACTTAAGCATGTTACTCCTGCTAGGCATCTTCGCCTTCAATGTCATCTTTTGTTGCCTGACAACATTACCCTTCAAAGATGTCAAGTTCTCAATCCGTCCACTCTTCTGCCACTCCCTGAGGGGGGTGTATACTACGGATTCATCATGGACGAAACTTATGTTTTTCTTCTCACTGGCACCATCAAGAAGGAAATGTATCCCAACCTATCCTTTCATGATGGACAAGCACCCCTTCATGACGGAGCAGGATATGCCTTCTGTACCATGTGGTACAAACCAAACATCACTCCTGAACCCTGCTATGAAGATGAACTCTATCATCTGGTCGAAGTAAAACTCACTGCACAAGACTTCTACTGTGATTCTGAAGGCAACAGTATGGTCTTGATTCATCTACCTCCGGAACTCAAGTATTTGTACCGTCATTGGGACACTGCCATTCCACATGTCCCTGTGACCAAGTTGAAAACAATATCATGGAATGATCTTGGGCCTATGGCAAAAGCATGGGCCACTATGGACGAATCACAGCTACAGGAAAATGGTGTTGTCAAATATCCAACAACTGACCACCTAGAAGCATGGCCACGTCATTTCCTGGAAAATGAGTTCCAAGATTTAACCATAGTGAATGACTACGACCCAAATACACCTCATGACTGTTTTGAACAGATGAAAATGGAAACAACACATCTACCAACTGTGCATGAAGACCCATTGGTAGATCCCGATCTCACCCTGTTTGTGGACGGCTCAAGATATGCTGATGAAGAAGGAAGATACCATACAGGATATGCCGTAACCACAACAGATGAAATTGTCAAATCATCATCTTTACCATCAACAATGTCTGCACAAGAAGCTGAATTGCAAGCCCTGACTTCAGCATGCAAGATCTCTGAAGGAAACACAGATTCAAGATATGCACTGGACGTGGCTCATGACTTCGGATTAATTTGGAAAACAAGAGGATTTCTTACCACTGCCGGTACACCAGTTAAGCACAGTTCTGCAATCAAGGAGCTGATGGATGCCCTCCTACTCCCAGAAGAAGTGGCCATTCTGAAGGTAAAGGCACATGGGAAGTTGGATTCGGATAAAGCAAGGGGCAACCATCTGGCTGATCAAGTTGCAAAACAAGCTGCAAGAGAACTACAGGAAGTGGACAGAAGTGTGTCCGGAAACGAAGAAACTCCCACATTTACCTTGCAGACACTTCCAACTGATCTAAAAACCCTACGGGAACAACAGGCTGCAGTTGCTCCTGAAGAAATACAAAAATGGAAACAGAAAGGGGCAGTTCTGAAGGATGGAGTGTACTCCAACAACCTCAATTTCTGCCTCCCTAAGAATTTGTACCCAGCAGTCGTACAATGGGCACACGGACCTGCACATTTATCAAAGGATCTAATGAATGCTCTTGTACAAAAATACTACCTCACTGTCCCCATATGAGATTCTATTTGGGACTGTACCTAGGCTAGGTTGCTATTTTCCCCAACAACTACAACTTCAAACTGATGTTTTAGTAGATTATGTAACTGAACTTGCCAATGCTTTGAACAAAATCCATGCCCAAGTTTTCTCTTCAATTCCAGATCCTGATTCTGACACAGGCAACCACAGTCTGCTCCCCGGTGACTGGGTTCTGGTCAAGAAATTTGTGCGAAAACACACCCTGGAACCAAGATTTGACGGACCGTTCCAAGTTCTCCTGATCTCCCCTACCTCTGTCAAATTGGCCGGAAGGCCTTACTGGATCCACGCTTCCCATTGCAAGAAGTCACCTGCCCCAGAGGAAGCTAACTCTATGCAACCATGTGCCTCTGGTACATTATCTCCTTAGTTGGCCTCCTTAAAGCCCAGCAGGTGGCCATCACCAAGGATGCTAGTGGGTACACTTTCTGGTATAATTCATCATGTACCCACGTGGCTACATTCACCTTTGATTACTGTGATATTGTAGAATGCCCATTCCCTAAGTCACAGATTCAAGCCATTTATAAAGATATACCACAAGCAAAAGACCCTTACGTTTGTGTAGTAGATGAACAATGGGGTTATGACTGTAACTACTGGGGGGCTGCGGGATGGAATACTGGGCCTGCCTGGGGTTATAAACCCAAAAGTGCTTTATCTAAGATAGACAATCAGGGTAGATCCCTCCTTCAAAGAATGACTTTAAGAAAGCCTGGAGGAAGTACCCCTATGAAATTAATGTTAAATATTGAACATCCTGGCCCCAAGGATGCAGACCGATATGTAATGGGAATGTATAGAAGGTAGAAAGATTCCAACAACAAATTAGGTTATTTCTACCTCAGAGATATGTACCACTCTCCAGAGTGGCAAGGGGCTGATCATATGGTCCCAAATCCGCTAAAACCACATATCCAGTCCTTTAAAGATATGATGCCCATCGCTAACCCCACTTTTGAAGATACCATGGCCGCTGAAACTGGATTCAATGACATTAATTTGTGGTTAGAATGGATGAGGTATAATGCCAACAAACATAATAAAACAGCATGTTATGTATGTGGCGGTGCCCGACCCCACCTTGGCACCGTCCCCCTAACTCTCCCTTTAGAGATAGAAGATTGCTTCTTAAGCCTTTTTGCCTACCAATATGACTTTAATAGGTCCCTCTGCATGGCATGGACGGCAGAATACCCTCTCTTAGTTGAAAATGTTAAGCCACCAGATGGAATCACAGTCTATAGAGGTAATTACACTTGTTATGCCATGTATGACGGGATTGGTAAATTCATGGGTAATTTTTCTAAAGGTTATTGCGCCACTTACAGAACTGTCCCCATACGTCTGTTGCAACATCACACCAGGTCATTGGGGGATATTTACTGGTTATGTGGGGATCTACAGTTAAGATCTAGGCTGGAAACTGAGTGGTGGGGTGAGTGTACCCTAGCCAAAGTTATCATGCCCATTCATATTATTTCTGATAATCATCATGACACATACGACCCTCCACATACACCAGCCAGAGTGAAGCGCGAAACCCCAGTAAAAGCAGTTTTGACCCCCACATTTACATAGATGCCGTTGGGGTAACTAGGGGGGTGCCTAATGAATTTAAAGCTAGAGATGAAGTAGCTGTAGGATTTGAATCACTTTTTACCATAGTCACTGCCAACAAAAACCTTAATTGGAATAACTACATTTATTACAACCAACAGCGTTTTGTCAACTACACCAGGGATGCCCTCCAGGGCCTGGCCGAGCAGTTGCAGGCCACATCCCAGATGACCTTCCAGAACAGAATGGCCTTGGACATGATTCTAGCTGAAAAGGGGGGTGTATGTAAAATACTACCTGACACCATGACTTGTTGCACTTACATCCCAGAAAACACAGGTCCTAATGGTAAAGTCACTATGGCCATAGCGAAGTTAGAGAAACTCTCAGAAGAGTTGAAGAGAAACTCTGGAGTTACTGATCCCTGGGAAAAATGGTTTGGTTGGATGACTGGTTGGCAGAGAGCTTTAGTCCAGATTGGTATTGCCTTACAAATTTTTCTTTTTATTCTCGCTCTTCTCATTTGTTGTGTCCTCCCATGCCTAAGGAAATTCCTGCAGAAAACTGTAGACCAAGCAACACCAACCTTCGCCCATCTAGAGATTGGTGACCAAGACCTCACATCACCCTGTATTCCGCTACAAACTCTCCCGTATGCTGATGAAGTGCAGAAAGTCCAGTACAGGGACAGTACAGGGACAGCGTCCGTCTTTATGGGTAGACTGCCGTACGGAGAAGTAGTGGATAAGCCACTATGGGTTACCAGCGGAGTGAAGAGTGTTCCTGAACCGTACTGACGGATGTGCTGCAGTCTGTTAGGGTCAAGAGAGGGATAGACTTGCACTTTGCATTAACACTAAGTCAGCGGTCATGGGGTTTCTGTGTCTTTGGGCTAACACATCTTCTGATACTAACAAATGAAGTTTTGTCTTTTAGCAAATAACATTTTAAGGGGGGACTGTTGTAGAATTATTAGGCCTCTATAAGTCTGTAAGGCCCCTTTAAATCCTCTTGCTATACCTCTAAGAGGTCCCATAGTTTTACAAGAAAGCTTTGTCTATAGAACATAGAATTTGCATGTCAGCAAGAAATAGCTTTGATAAAATGTGTATTTACTAAAAGCCTTGAAACCTAACCTTGAGAAACTAACAGTGCCAGGCTACACTCTAAATGGATAGCTGCCAAAAGGCCCCTCCCGTCAAGTGAGCTCCTCATGTTAACAAAATGGCGCTAAAACCTGGAGGAGACAATCATGACGAGGATAGTGACCTAAGATGGTACACCCCGTAGGGAGGGCATTTTACTAACTACTTAGCACCTAAGCCAATTAACAATGTCTATTTGTCTATATCTTGATTTTCTTCAGTGATGTAATAATGCTTTTAAAAGGGCCTGCGAGCCTGCTTTTTAATCAGAAGCCATTAAACTTCTCCGAAGTTCTTTCATTAACCTGAACTCTGTGTCTCAGTGTGAATTTACTTCTGCGTGCACGCAACTTTATTATCTTTAATTTGGACAGGAACAGATAGTCATTCAAACTAATTGGTTTGCAGTAAATCATCTACTACAGTACTAGCGCTAAAATATAAGTGCAAATAAGACGAAGTGAATCAGCTGCGATAACACCAGATTCTTATCTTTAAAATCGTCAAATCCTCCGAAAATCCTGTTTAATTTTATCTGATTGCAGATAACCCTCTGAAACTGCTATGTTTATAAAAAAATGGGTTAACCCTAGCTGGACCTGGCACCCAGACCACTTCATTAAGCTGAAGTGGTCTGGGTGCCTAGAGTGGTCCTTTAAGGTATTGTTACACAGAAGTTTACACAAGTACGTTTTTGCACGGGTTAATTTTATAAATTTACAGCGCTTCACCTCTATTTCAAGAGTCTGAATTACGGTTGAAAAAGGAGCTGCACCGAGACCGGTCTCCAAGCAATCTGGAGGAGGCAGTGGGCTTGTAGCGTTTTTGTGAGCAGTCAGGTAAGTAGGACAGAAACAGGAACCAGGACCACGAGGGAAAACAGGTAAGAGACAGGAAAATGGAGACTTGACTGGAAGTAACCCCTTCTACTCACCAGACCAACAACGGTAAAGTGGGAGAGGATTGGCAGCCCTTTTAAAGGGGATCCAAGCCCCTCCCACTACTACAGACCCAGCCTTAAATATATATAAATAATTTATAAAAAAACAAATAAAACCGCTTACTTTAGCCAGCATTTGTAACTAAGTGGCTATTTCAAAAGACTGGACATACCCCATTTTGAATACCCTGGGTTGTCTACATTTGAAAATGGTATGCCATGATAGGGTTATTTCACATTCCTGGCCTACCATATGGTCTCAAAAGGCAACACAGACCCAGCAAACCAATGTGGCAAACTGAATCGGGCAAGCCCTATATTGACCCTGTAACTTTCCAAAACACCATACAACCTTACATGGGGGGGGGGTACTGTTATACTTGGGAGACTTCGCTGAACACAAATATGAGTGTTTAAAACAGTAAAAATTATCACGACGATGAAATCACCAGTAAAAGTGCTGTTTTTGTGTAAAAAAAAAATGCAAAAAACAAATAACAACAGTAACTCTGGCCAGTGTTTGTGACTAAGTGGCTACTACAAAAGACTGGAAATACCCCATTCGGAATACCCTGGGTTGTCTACATTTGAAAATAGTATGCCATGGTGAGGTTATTTCACATTCCTGGGCTACCATATGGACTCAAAAGGCAACACATACCCAGCAAACTGAATCGAGCAAGCCCTATATTGACCCTGTAACTTTCCAAAACACCATACAACCTGTACATGGGGGGTATTGTTATACTGGGGAGACTTTGCTGAACACAAATATGAGTATTTAAAACAGTAAAACTTATCATGACGATGAAATCACCAGTAGAAATGCAGTTTTTGTGTAAAAAAAATGCAAAAAAATAATATGAATGCTAACTTTGGCCAGCGTTTGTGACTAAGTTGGTACTACAAAAGACTGGACATACCCCATTTTGAATACCATGGGTTGTCTACTTTTACAAATGGTATACCATGATGGGGTTAATTTTCATTCCTGGGCTGCTATACGGTCTCAAAGGCAACATAGGCCCAGCAAACCAATCTGGCAAATTAAAATGTGCAAACATGGAAAAGCCCTACATTTGACCCCTGTAAGTTTGCAAAACCCCACAAGACCTGTACATTGGGGGCACTGTTGTACTCGGGGGATGTTGCTGAACACAAAAAAATAAATACCCAAAAATAACACAAAAAAATAAATACCCAAATGTTTGACAAAGACTGGTGATGGTAGAATGAGTGCATGGAAATTGTTAATATACCACCATTTGAAATACCCTAGGGTGTCTACCTTTCAAAAATATATGGTTTAATAGGGATAAATTACATTGGTCGGCTTAAAAATGTCTCAAATAGGACATGGGTGCATGATGACCAGCTGTGAAAATTCCAAGTTGGAAAACTTGAATGCGCACCCTCCAAATAAGGTCTTTTAGCCCCCAAAGAACCCGACACACCTATACATGGGGGGTATCACTGTACTCAGGAGATGTTGCTGAACACATATTGGGGTGTTCTTTTGCAGCAATCTGTAGCGGAGAGCTGATTTCAAACAGCATAACTCCACCAAGTACTTTAACAGGATGCAGGAACAAGTAGTCAATCCAAGAGAATATCCAGCACAATCAGCAATACACTCCAATAATATCCCATCACTTTCCCCAATCATTGGACGACACACAGTATCAGAAGTAGAACTGACCTTTTAATCACTCAACCTTCTTTTAAAGCATTCTCCCATGCAAGGGAGGGATTTACAGTAATTACACAATACACCAATCATACACGAGTTGCCACCCACACATCCCCTCACCTTAGTGTGACACATAATCCCATTATGTAAGACACAGTTCCCCTTGTTTTCTGGATGTACCCCTAAACCTAGGAGTACCCATTTAAATATTACATCCCTTGGTAGCCCTGATCTGGGTGAGACACATATCCAAAAATCACCCAGATCAGATCAGGGGTTCAGGAGTTATGGGGGTTTAAAGTTTTGTGGTAGTCCCTTTAGGCCCACTGAAGCATGGCTTTCCAGCCCAAACCAGTTCCAACTAGTCTGGCAGTGTGCCTGGGAGAACGCCCTGCTGGAGAACAATGGGACAGGAAACGGGGGAGGGGTACACCTTCCTATACACAATCTATACACAGTCTTATAGAAGTCCATACACTGTGCTTAAAGGGCCAGTAGCCGCATAATAAAAATCCTTCATGCCCAAATACTGTCTTTAAAGGGCAATACCCCCAGGTCCATAGTCACATGGCAGGAGGCGGGCAAGCAAGCCCCTCCAAAAGTTCATGGCAAACTCTCTTAAAGGGTTGAGTTTGCTACATATCTCCCCTTTCCCATTGAGATTATCCAGACTCCAGACCTCCCAGCGGTCTGGTGCTCTGATAGTCTGCCGGCCTTTCTCAAAAGGGGCAGTTGTCCAGATGGCCTCCTCCCACCTGTGCCCAGTTGTAGATCCCGGGTCTTGTGGAAAAACAACCAGGATGCCTTCTCCCCTGGTTGGACAAAGCTGTTGCTGGGGACGGCAGCTGCAGTTCCCCTCCTCTAGACCTGGTGGGTCGAGGTCCGCAAAACTTTGCTCTGTGGTCCTCGGGGCCCTTGATGTAGATGGAGCGCTGTCAGGATCTAAGGCAAAAGGGAAGAGAGGGCAGAAGCCGCCTGCTTTCTGCCCGTATGCCAGCTTTTCTTCCTGCAACGCTCTCCCTTGTTGTAGGGGAGAACCGACTGTTTCCCCTTCCAATAAATGGTCCCGCTGTTGGGAAGGTGAACCAGCCGTCTCCCCTTCCAATACCATGCTCAGCCACTGGGAAGAGAGACCACCTATCTCTTCTCCCAACATCACACTTGGTTGCTGGAGGGGGGGACAGACTGTCCCTACCCCCGGTGGTGCAGTTGCAGAGACTACGGTCCCATCTGTACTGTTGTGGGGCTTACTGTCTCCCCTTGGTGGGCTATGCTGTCACTGATAAGGGAGGACACTGCTCTCCCCTCCCAGTGAAACACACTGCCGCTGGGGATCTGGGCCAACCGTTGAGCATCCCTGTAGCTCACCCTGCCGCGGGGGTGGGAGGACGCTATTCTCCTCTCCCTGCAAGGTATGCTGCCGCTGGAGAGGGAAGACGTTGCTCTCCACTCCCAGTGCAACACACTGCCGCTGGGGATCTGGGCCGACTGCCCAGCATCCCTGTAGCTCACCCTGCCACTGGGGAGGGAGGACGCTACTCTCCTCTCCCTGCAAGGTACACTGCCGCTGGGGAGGGGAGACGATGTTCTCCACTCCCTGCACTTCATACTGCCGCTGGGGATCTGGGTCGACTGCCCAGCATCCCTTTAGGGCCGGTAGAGAGACCGCCGTCCCCTCTCCACCTGCCATCTGTGGGTCTTCCCAGGACCAGTCTATGAGGTCCCTCATTTCTGGGGCTGGTTGGGGAGTAGATGGTGCAGGCCCCAGGTCTCCTGATGACGGACTTAGTTGTTGGGGAGGAGGGACGAAACTCAACGCTCCCAATGGTGTACAGTCCATAAGCCCTACCATGTCAGAGAACTATGGTGTCACTGGATCAAATAGCGGATCATAATCCTGTTCGAACTCCCACTGCTCTGGCGATAACTGCAGGGTATAGGGTGACTGACTGGAGCTGATCAGTTGCTGGTAATCCTGCTCAAGTTCCCATTCCTGGACGGCCAATTCAATCAGGTCTGGCTCCAGGTCTTCAGCCATAGGGAGATCCAGCATGGCCTCTCTATAGTTAAGTATGTCCCAAAGCCGGGATTCTGCCGCACTCCCAGAGTCCCCCCATAATAAGCCAGGGCTATTGTAATAATTGCCTTCCGGTTTGTCGAACTTGGCTATTCCGGGAACCCGCTGAACCGCGTACCAACGTAGTGCTTGGTACGCATCATCGAGACCCAGTTCCCTCCATGCTAGTGTATCAAGCTGTATCACCAACTCTTCCCGTGGCTGGTCTCCCAGCATAGGCATCCGTAGGGCCACTCGTGCTTGTAGTCGCTGCTCCTTGCTGGGGAGGCGCTCACCTCGCCAATGCTGGACACCCTCCAGAGTTTCTTCCCACATCTCTTGTCGGGTGTCCTCTCTGCATGCCAACTTGGTTGCCTCTGCTATCGGCTTATCCAGTGTGGCCAAGATGCTCTGTAACCTCCGGTTAAACTCATCTTTCACCTCAAGCTCTGTCCAGGGACTCACTGGCTCTATGTCGCTCCATATTGATTCCTGTGTCTCCAAGGTGCTCTTCCTCTCTGGAGTTTGTTGGACCCTTTGTCTTAGTATAAACTCCTGTACTTCTGTCATGGTTCTGGAGATAA